GCATTAATATAGGACCCGTTAACTTGTAAATTTTGGAATCTTCATTCAAATTGTCGAATTCGTTTAGAACAATTTTGTTTTCCTGATACTGTGTTTCTAATGTAGAACGAGCGGTCATCAACTCATTAAGAGTCCCCTGGGAATTACTGAACTCTAAAGAGAGCTTCTCAAAGTCTTGTTGAGTGGACATGTTTACCTGTTCAATGATTGAGTAACTGTTCTCCCAGCATAGTTTCCAAAATCTTCGAAAATCATATATGATGGAAAGTATCACAAAATCAGAAATTTAAGAAAATTCATTACTACTTACATATATCTTTATTGACATATAACCTACCTAAACCAAAAATAAAATGAAATCAAACAGTCGTAACTCTTACTCGACTAAAATAAAAGAAGTAAAACAAAAAAAAGTGGGCCGGGATGGCAAATTGAAATTAAAACAAGAACAAATAAAATCTATTGGCACTTTTTAATCAATACAAACGCAAAACCCAGTACGACAAATATTAACTTGGAAAAATGCTATTGTCATTCTCATTAACAGTGATCTCAGTAACATGAACTTTGTACATTCTATTCGTAGAGTCACCATATTCACCCATCAGCTCAAATTCTTCATATTCGTCAATAACAACATCCTCATGATCTTCTATTTCATCTAGTTCCATAGAAGTGTTTTCGAATACAAATTCTTCGTTTCCGTATTCATTTTCAGATTGGTCGTCATCATCTATCATAGCATTATCACTGGCAGCTCCACATAAAAATGTCGGCCTGGGATCGTGATACGAAGTATGTCTTCTCTGTTGTGATTTTGGCGACGTCATTCTCGAATACGATGGTGTATTGGCATCAGAACTTGCCTGTGATTGAGAACAAGACCTCGAAGCTGACCTAGAGCCCAGTACTGAATTCGATGACGACTTAGACACGCTCATAGCCCTCATTTTCTTCTCATTTGCAAGCGACTTCTGCTGCTGGTAAGGTGAAGCAAATAAATCCTGGTTAAATATAAACCCCTGGCATTCCTTTAATGAGATAATATTATAGCTAGAGCTATGAGAATAGTAATTTGGAGAGTCGTATACCGAAATATTTTCATTCTGTACCATAGCTGGTGATAGTAAAGAGTTACGTCTGAACCAAGGAGATGATGTAGATGTGAATGATGAATTACGTCTTTTATTAATGCTTTGTTGATTGCGGAATGAATCTCTCGAATATGAATCCTGTCGTTTGGAATTCCGCTTCACTTGAGGTGAATTTGATAGCGAATAGCCTGTAGTCAAGTCCGTCATCATTTCTTCTTAATATATTATCTCTTTCTAATATCTCGCGATGGAATGATTTGCTTGAATTTATAACCTAAATGTCTTGTGAGTCAAAGTAGTTATGATCCAACTGTGCTTAAGTGACTAAATCGATAAGGAAATCAGGTTATCACGTGCTTCGCAACTTCATGATTTCCTCTAACTACTGTTACGGTCGATATCATCAGGAGCAGTCTGGAAGGCTCGGATAGGCTTGACAATCTACATGCCTTTGGCAGTGGGTGAGTAATACTCCATATCTTATTTACAAGTAAATGCAAGACCTAATAACTCCTATAAAACCATAAATCGTAACCAGTGTAACTTATCGAAAGTACCTACGTACTACGTACTTCTCCTCATCCATACCTCTTTCCTCTCGTTCAATTTGTCAACCACATACTTCAATCCTTCTCTAGAATTGACCATGTTTGATGAGAACTTGTTGCGGCTCCACTCTTCAATTTTTTGCTTGAATCCAAACAAATTGGAGGAAAACCTCACTTTGCTCTCTACCAATGTGCTAAACGGACTATCTGCTGAGTACTTCAAGTACTCCTCGATCCTGATAAATTTCCTGTGGTCCACATTCGATGTGTATGAGAGCATTTGGTTGGTTTTGGGGTTGATGATGGTCTTCTCGATGATCCACGAGTCCAAATGCGTCCCTAGAAACGGCTTGATGAACTTGGGCAACCTCCCGGTCTTCACAATAATCTTGGTGGTCCTGAGACACCCATCCGAGTCCATATATCTGTCAAGAGTATCAATACTCAAGACATGCTTTGCGTATGGATTGGGGTACCTATTCAAATATGCAAGGCTAACAGTGGGGAAATCGTGGTTAAACACATGGGCATTCTCAAATACTTGAACCATTTAATTCCAATTATTCTTGTTCCTAATGCCTGGAAATATCTAGCAAGCACTACTAATATTTAGTACGGAATGTCTAATATCATCAGATGATTAATACATAACGTCATGGAATAAATCCTCCTGGTAATTGGTGTGAAAAATTTCGGTTACACAAACCCGAACAACATGCAAAGTATTTTAACCTGTAAAATATTTCGGCCGAAATTTAACATGCAATTAAACACAATAACCTGTAAATTACCAAAACTTTCGCAGTCGCTAGCGAGTTCTAAAAAATTGTAATCCATGGCGAGCTAAAGTCGCTAAAAACGATTCGGAACAAGGCATTCTCGCCTACGTTTTCCATTAGCGATGAGAGTAGAAACAGTTTTTGCGTTCCTCCGCGCACGAACCCCGATTCTTATGGCGGTTTTTCCTGGCGAAAAAATATAATGCCTACGCAGAAATTTTTCTAAGAGCTCTATGAATGAGCTTTCAGTTATGGCGACTACGACCAAGAAATACTAGAAGCGAGGTTGACGTTGAACGAGATTAAATTGAAAGGATATTGTAGCGGAAAGTAGAATTTTATATATATGTAGATAATGTGTAGACGCGGGAAGACGCAAATTGTCAGATGTATGAATCGCCGTGAACTTGAGCGCACAAAAGACAATCAATGTTTGGGTGATTCACCCCTTCCCGACCTACCAAGATCCATCAATTCTATTTGCGCTATCACTATATGATTGTCATGCAAACTGGAGTGCACATTTAAGTTCTCCACAAAGAGTAGTTTTTTACGGAGACGAACTTCCCATAGTGTTTTTATAAATACTGGACTAATCCATAAAATCCATACAAATTGGTGGAGGTAAAGAAATACCAAACATATAAACACTAGCGAAACGCTCTAAAATACTGGAAAGTTAACAGTCCTAAACTATATATAATGTCAAATTTTGTATCAGAGAAGCTGGTAATAAGTCATGAAAGTAAAGAGAATGTCACTAATGACAAAATATTTGTTGATAGGAACCTGGTAGAAAGCATTTCATGTAACCTAGAAGATGATCATAATGTGTTTGCTGATGACAAAACAGGCCCTGATTTCAGAGGAGTTTCTTGCTTAGGAGGTGCTGCTTTGATCGCCAAAGCCCAGTTCGGTGTAGGTGTGCTAGGGTTACCTCAAACTTTCGACGTTTTGGGGTTCGTTCCCGGTTTAATATCTATTATTGGCTTATTACTCCTAAGCACATGGGCGGGCTTTGTAATGGGGAAGTTTCGTCTCGCTCACCCGAATATTCACAATGTTGGAGATGCTGCTTGTCTTATGTTTGGTAAACGTGTTGGTGATTTCTTTGGATATGCATTTTGCCTACTATATACCCTCTTATATTCAACAGCCCTTCTTACACTTTCTATTGCCTTCAATACGTTCAGTGGTCATTCCATTTGTACTACAGGCTGGATTGGTGTTGGGGCCGCCATGGCTCTTGTTGCGGGCCTTTTCACAAGAACTTTAAAAGTTATATCGTGGTGTGGGTATGTTGCGGTGGTCTCAATTTTATCAGGTGTATGGGTTATTACAATCGCTTGTTTAGTTCAAGATACGCCGGCAATGGCACCAGAGGGAGAGCCTATTAGTAAATCGATCAAGGCGGTTGCTACTGGTACATCTTATTCAGCTATTTGTGCTGCTGTTGCCACTCAAGTATTGGCGATTTGTGGTACGTCTTCGTTTTTTATGATTCATGCTGAAATGAGGGACCAGGCTCAATATATCAAGTCAGTTCTCTTGGGTCAAGGATTTGTTGCGTTTAATTATATTGTAGTTAGTTGCATTGTCTACGCAAAAGTTGGTCAATATATTGCATCGCCATCTCTTGGAACGGCTGGTATGTACCTTCAGAAAGTTTCATATGGGATTGCCTTTCCTGGGCTTTTTTTTGGATGTTTTTTCCAAGCACATATTGCTGGTAAATACGCTCTCGTTCGAATTTTAAAAGGCACTGAACACTTGCAGAGTAATTCTAAAATACATTGGATAACTTGGCTAAGTGTAATGATTTTGGTTATTGCAATCGGATTTGTAGTAGCTGCTGCAATTCCTTTCTTTGATGATTTATTAGGTCTAATTGGTTCCCTTCTTGGTACCAGTTTTACACTTATAATGCCCGGTATCATGGCCCTTCACCTGTTAGGCACAGGTTTGAATGAACAAACTTATGGTGGTTTAGGCTGGATGAAAAGTTCTAGAGCGGTGTGGAGAAAAAGCAAAATGAATATTTTCATTGTTATAGTATCATTTTTCGCAATTGGAGCTGGGTGTTATGTCTGCGTTTCAGGAGCCTACGGATGTATAGTAAATATCATCGACGGTTTTGCAGACAATTCTGTCTCAAGTGCGTTTTCTTGTGAAGATAATAGTGGCTGAAATAGCAAAGTATAGCATTGAACTGTATATATTAGAATGAATTTCATTTCACAACAAGTTATTGATGTAGCATCAGCAGTGGCTTGAATCCCAGTAACAGACGAGAAGGATGGCAGCGAAACGAGGTCACAAGACTATTCATAGTCTGGAAAATTCTGGAAAATTCATCGTAGAATTATAGTCTAATTTTTGTGTAATCCTAATGTTGTCAGGATGTAGATCTGGCCACCATATTTAGAAATTAAGTAAGCTTATTGATATTGTACTCTGAATGACCCTAATCTAAAGTTTCCTATACGGGATAGTATATTGTGTTATGTTCTTGATCGATTTAAATATCGTATGATACATTTAAATCTGTTTTAAATGGTAATGTATCGCTTCAAGAAAAAATGTCCACCCAGTTGCATTTTTCTTCGCAGCCATTGCATGAATCACCAGATCACAATTCTTCATACAGTCATCAGAATGGTATTGGTGATCGCTTATTTTTGGGGCAGAGGCGAATGATTCTGCTACGTGTCTCGTTAATCATATCTCCTCTAGCGTTATTCGGATGTCCCAACGGTAATATCGGAAGTGCTTTGAGCATATTGCTTCCGTTTGCTGTTCTGTCTATTTTCTTATACCTGAATCTGTGCGCTCATCTAAATTATCACCCCGTTATACTATGCTTGGATACGTTCTCTGGGGAAAACAAGACGACTCAAGGGACTTATTGATACACGTCCCAATGATATCATTTTTGAAGAGAGACTGCGTAGAAGAGCTCTAGCCGCTAAGAATAATACGAAACAAGGAATGCTCGCTTGTTCTGCCTTGGCGCTTGGGGTGAAAAAAGTTTTTGCGCTCCTCCGCCCACAAACCCCAATTATAATGGCAGTTTTTGCTGGCGAAAAAAATAAAACCAACGTAAAAATTTTTCCTAGAGATCTCTGGATGAGCCTTCAGCTATGGTGACTAGGACCACGATAGAGGAGAGGTTAATAGTAAAGGAGGTTAAACTGAAGCGTTATTGTAGCGGAAAGTACAATTTTATACATATGTAGATGATAACAAATTATGTAGACGCGGAAAGACGGAATTGACAGAAGAATGAATCGCCGTGAATTTTAGCGCAAAAAGACAATCAATGCTTAGATCACACTCTCTCGACCTACCAAGATCCATCAATTCTATTGCGTTATCATTATGTGATTGTTATGTACATTGGGAGTGCAGATTTAATGCTCTCCACAAAGAGTAGTTTTTTTTTACGTAGACCAACCTGGCATACCATTTTTATAAATAGTGGGCTAATCCATAGAAATTTTCGGGGCATAAGAAATCTAAAGTTGGGGATTGCTTTATGAGTAGAACACTATGTCTAAGTTGAGAACAGAGAAATCCAATAATTTAGAGGCGGTGATCTCGGAGATCAAACCATACTACTCGGAATCAACAAGAGAAAGTCGTTGGACGGACTTCAAGGATTCGTTCAAAAGACAGGTACCAGAAGGTGAGTCCAAGGGGTCCAGTGGAACCCAAATGCAGAAGTCCATCAGCAAAAGACATTTGAGACTAATGGCATTATCGACTGGTCTCGGTACTGGGTTATTGGTGGCAGCCGGAGCAAAATTAGCTACTGCGGGTCCGTTATTTCTTCTTGTCGGATACGCTGTGGTGGGCTATTTCATGTTGATTCCCTGTATAAATGCGGTTGGAGAATTGTCGGTCGCTTATAATGATTTACCAGGTGGATTTCAGTCATACTATAGAAAGTTTATGGACGAAAGTATTGCATTCGCGGTCGGTTGGAATTATTGTTTCCAATGGGCTACAGTCATCTCGTTGGAACTTGTGACTGCCGGGATGACCATAAGGTTTTGGACAACGTCTATTAACCCCGATATTTTCGTGTTGATATTCCTCATAGTGGTTGTGCTCATTAATTTGGCAGGAGCCAAAGGTTACGGGGAAGCGGAATTCTATATGAATAGTGTTAAGTTGCTCATGTTGGGAGGTTTCATTATCTTTGGTATTATCATTGATTGTGGTGGTGGGCCCGCAGGGTACATTGGGGGAAGATACTGGCATAATCCGGGTGCATACACTAGTTTTAAGGGATTGTGTAGTGTTTTCGTCACCTCAGCATTCTCATTAGGTGGGACCGAATTCATCTCATTGTCAGCTGCAGAACAGGAAAACCCAAGACAATCTATTCCTGCTGCTTGTAAGTTGGTATTTTTCAGAATCACCGTTTTTTTCCTTGGTTCGTTGGCATTGGTCGGATTGTTGGTTCCATACAACTCCGACAGGTTAATGGGGTCTGGTGAGTCCGGTACGTCCCCATATGTGATTGCTGCCCAAATGCACGGAGTCAAAGTTATTCCTCATATCTTCAATGCCGTTATATTGGTGTCGGTCACGTCTGTGGCGACTGCCGCAATGTATTCGTCCACGCGGTTGTTGCAATCGTTGGCCGAGCAGGGTTACGCCCCCAAATACCTCAACTACATTGATCGTGCCGGTAGACCATTGAGATGCTGGATTATCACTATCTTCTCATCTTTTTTTGCATTCATTGCTACCTACAAAGACCAAGAAGCCGTCTTCACCTGGTTGTTGTCGATCTCAGCCTTAAGTTTCATCTTCACATGGGCCAGTATTGATATCTGCCACATTAGATTCAGAGCCGCGTTGAAGTACAACAACATACCGTTGAGTTCATTGGGTTACGTCTCTAGTACCGGTACCATCGGCTCCTACATTTCCTTCATCCTCAACATTTTAATTCTAGTTTGTCAGTTCTGGGTCTCGTTGTTCCCTATTGGCGGTGACGGGTCTCCTAACGCTCTCTCATTCTTCCAAAATTACTTGGGTGCTGTTGTTTTACTAGTTTTCTACGTTGGTCATAAGCTCTACACCAGAAACTGGAGCTTATATATCAAGGTGCAAGATATTGATATCGATGCCGATAGGACCATCTACGATCCCGAAATTTTGGAATTGGAAAATCTTGAAAGCAAGCAACGCTTTAAAAGGGCGCCCTTCTGGAAGAAAATCTTGATTTACTGCTTCGATTAGCTCATTTTGTTTATATCTTCTTTATATCTTCGTTTACAGCTTCATTTTCTTCATTACATGTACATTATAATATACACTCTGCAACATTTCTCGTATATTCTGGACGCGACACGCTTCTCCGATATCAGCGATGGACATTACACAAACTCGTCTTGCCAAGATGAGCCCCGAAATCGCAAATTCGGACATATCGCTATACGGACATATCGCTATAATTGGTCTTCATATATAAGAATGCACATCGCTACCCTTTTATTTTGATTAATTCTTTATCGATAAGAAACAACAAATAAACATTAAAATGTCAGCAGTTCAAACAGTCGGTGCTACTACCAAATTAAACCAACACGAAATATTACCAGCTCCTACAGATGTTGGTGCATTGGCCAACAGAATTAATCACGAAACCAGAGCGTTACACAATAAAATTGACAAGATGATAACATTGAAATTGGCATTGGCATACAGAGACTCGAGAATATACCGTCAGGGATTACAAAGTTTCTACCACGTTTTTGCTACGGTGGAAAGAAGCTTGATGAAGCAATTTGAAAAAGGCGACGAATGGACGGAGCTCTTGAAGCAAGTGTGGAAGCCAGAAATGGCCAGAACCGATAAGGCTGAACAGGATTTGATGTTCTACTACGACGACAGAAGGGAAAAGTTTGAGAGTCCTATTATGAGCGAGCAGATCAAGTTTGTGGAACATATCCAGAAGGTGACAGCTGAAAAGCCTTACTTGTTATTAGCGTATTTACACGTGATGTACTTAGCGTTATTCGCCGGGGGCAGAATAATGAGATCGTCAATCTCTAAGGCCACCGGATTGTTCCCACAAAAGGACGGCTTAAAGCACGAGGACATCATCAGATTAGGGGCTAACTTCTACACTTTTGATGTCGCCGACGAAGATGCATTCAGATTACTCTACAAGAGAGATTACGAGCTTGTGACCAGACCTACCTTGACCGAAGAACAAAAGGTTGAAATCATCGAAGAATCCAAGTATATTTTTGCTCAAAACGCCAAATGTGTTTCCGAGATTGAACAACACAACATCGCCAGAATGTCCAAGAAATGGGCTTACATCGCTGCAACAAAGGGCTACTATGTCGTCTTAGCATTGGCTGCATTATTGGTTTTATTCTACATCAGAAGAATCATTTTACACTTACTTTAATTCTTTCCCCTAGATAATCCACTACCAAACTCAGAGCTATTTTCTAGTTTAACTTGTATACTATACCGGGCATTCTATATATTTTAGAATATTACACTTTTATTGATAACTATTTCTATTGACATTAATCGCTTGCTTCTTCCTCTTCTTCCTCTTCTTCTTCATCCTCGTCTTCATCTTCATCTATTTCTGCCTCTTCGTCTTCAGACTCTTCTCTGGCTTCAGCGGCGACGTCAGGGTCCAATTCGTTTGTCACCCCATCTGGGTGGTCCTTCTTCCAATTCTCAGCCCACGCAATCAACCGGTCAATGTTTTCATCCATATCTTCTGCCGAATTGGATGTAAGTTCTATCACAATTTCAGGGATATAAGATTCCCTTGCATCCTGTAAGATGACTTCCATAATTTCACAGTCCAAGTTCTCTTGTACCTTATTTTCCTTATATCCTCTTTTGTTCAATCTATCGAACAATATCTTGTTGTCCGTTCTTAACACCACCACTAGATCAATTAATCTCTCAGGAAAAATGTCACAACAATGCCAGTCTATCAAAATTCCCCCTTTCTCTAAATCTCCCTCTAATGAATCTAACAACTTGTCTTCATCTACGACCGATGTGTCTAACTTTTCATCGTAGCTTTCAATACATTTACGTTCCTTTGCTATATCACTTATAGAAAAATGCTTGTATGGTTCTTTTAATTGCGAAACCAAATTGGCTGCGTGTGAACTTTTCCCACATCCTGGAGTCCCAGTGATTATTATATTTGGATATTCTCTTCTTGACATTCTCTTCTCTTTTATTAGGGTGTATTACGTCTTCTTGACACCTATCTTTAGTTATATAGAGATGAGGTTGTAAATTTGATGCTTTGTCACGTGATGTTAATTGGGTCGTGTAGAATCGTCAATATCATGAAGTTCAATTAGCTTGATGAATATAGCTAAACATCAAGGTAGAGACACCAAATATACAATTATTTGAGAGCATAATCTATTAGTTAGCGAATATATCATTTGTTTATTACAATTCTTTGTGTTTTTTTGGTTTGAAATTGGACGGTTTGGTAAAGAAATACAACATATTAACAAAGCATAATGCGTAAGTAGTTGATTAAATTTCTTCAGCAAGAACTATTACTAACAACGAACCACAGCTATTTTACCACCAGGATTATCGCCGAATACATCTGTACAGGAGTCTAGTGATGATATGGATAAATTTGGATTGAATGGGCTACTGTCGCTCGTCAAGATGGAACAAACAGACCAAACTGTATTTGCGATAGGACAAGATATAAATCTACTTGGATTGGATCTATCTACAGACTCACAGATCTTGAAAAAGCTACCATCACCATGGGCCGAAACTTCTAGGTCAGAAGTGGAGCCATACTTCACGTTGCCACATTCTATCCGTTTTGAGAATATCATACCTCCTCCTGAACCTTGTGACAGTAAGATACAATCGTTTTCAGATGAAACATTATTTTATATCTTCTACATGAAGCCTAGGGACACACTACAGGAATATGCGGCGCGCGAGTTAGTGGCAAGAAACTGGAGATATCATAAAGACATACAAGTATGGTTAACTAAGGATAGTAATGTTGAACCTGTTCTAATTAGCCAGGATGTCGAAAAGGGTGTATATATATTCTTTGACCCACATAACTGGGAAAAGATTAAAAAAGAATTTGTTCTACATTATTCTTCTGTGCAAGCGTAATGTTTGACAATTATAGTAATAGAATTATATAGGTGTAATTTATTCCTTTTGGTAGGTAACTTTGTCAACCTTGACTTCCCCATGAAAATATGTGTAAATATACAATGTACAAGTCGAGTCATGTGTATCTAGTAAACAGAACGATGGTATAGAAGATGACATCTCTTTGACTTCTTCTATTAGGTTTGTATCATCGGAATCGGAATCGTTAGAGTCTTCCTTGTTCTTTTCTGCTACGTCTTCGTTATCTTTTGGGTCCACGTTTTCTTGTTCACTAGGTTCTTTAACCTCTTCTTCAGCGCCCTCTTTGTTGTCCTGTTCACTATTGTCTATCCCATCCTTCTTGTCAGCATTATTTCCTTCGTCCTTCTTGGATTCTTCCTCTGCTGTGTCTTTTTCCTCGCTTTCTTCCTTTGCAGGTTCTGAATTCTCTTCCTTAGAGTCTTCTTGATATTCTCCTTCCTCTTCTTCGTCCTCACTTTCATCTTCCTTTTCGGGCCAATCAAAGTTGTATGCTCCTGTTGCACTTCCTGGGTTTATAAAAAACTTTCCATCCAAAGTATAAGCTTCCACCTTATGTGTTCCACCCCAGATTAAAATGTCAACATCTATTTCCCTGGCCAATGTCAGTAATGCGAGAGGGTCGTTCTTGGGAACAACCAAATAACCATTTGTAAATCCAATTCTTAGATTGTCGTGCTGGATGATGTTATACGTGGGGATTTGACTTTCTTTACCATTCAATGATGCAATTTGCTGTGATAATATGTGTGAATTGTCAAACTCACCTCTTACCATATTAAAGGATGGGGATAAATCGTAGAGAAATTTTAATGTATCATACGAGTTAGTTATGTTCCCTAAGCATAGAACTTTTGATAGCTTATTATTAGTTGGAATTGTATTGGGATTCGGACAAAGCAATTTACGAAACTTCGATGGAAGCTCAAATGCCCTGTCAGGAATATATATATCTCCTATTGCTAATGTCAACATGATTAATTGGGTATGTAAAAATGAGTATTTCCCCAAATGATAGTGGAATTGATATACTCAGATTAATTTACCAGTTCGCGCACTACAGTCAGAATAAGATTAGCTGAATTAAATAAATATCTAACAGTAACAAGAAAATGATTAATTAAAATAAAAGAATTGTTTACTTAGTGATCGGAAGTAATTTTTTGTAAAACTTGTGGATAGTTTCTGAAAATTTCATCAAATCTATCTCTATTAGTCATCTGGAAAACTTCTGGGTCCTTAGCTAAGGCAACGAAGAAAGTAGAAATACCAGACAGGATGACTGTTAAAGCAATACGAGTAATTTGACCCGAAATTAAGAAAGAGAAGGCGACAACAGGAGCGTAGAAAGTACCACTAGAGTTGTAAGCTGGATCGGTGAACTTCAAGTAGAAATATGCGAGTAAAGCGACAACGTAACCGACAAACAAGGAGTACAAATTCAACGATGTGTTGATGAAACAATCGTTGATTAAGGCATCCATACCTTTGAATCTAATCAAGTCGAAAGTATCCCTAGCAGATTTAAGGTAAGACTTACCATATAAAGCAACGTAACAGTAAGCATAGTGGTTGAAATAACGGACAATCCAGTCAATGAAACTAAGAACAAAGTCCAAAATTAAGAAACCGCAGCCAGCACAGTTGTCACCAGAGCCGAATGCGTTTTGTTTTAAGATTTGAACGAAAGATTTAATCAATTGAATAATAGACACAATTAAAGAACCAAAACAGACGGAACCAAAACAATAAGTCATGGCTCTCTTGAATGCTCCCAAAGCTGGGTGCTTAGGTTCACCCTGGTCAGAGTTGGATAAATAGTACCAAGTACCATATATACCAGCAATGGTTATGTGTATGACGTTCTTTATGACTTCAGAAATATAGTAGCCAGCGAAAAACACAAACACCAATACCCCGATCAATTTGGACTGGGAACAACCTCCTCCACCCACATCACATCCTTGCGAATCTGGATCATACTTGACGTAAGTGGCAACAATAACAACTGAAAACAACGTACTGAATAGCCCTGATACAATAATACCGATAAACGAAGTTATCAACGTCGATGGATAACGTTTCATTACATCAATGGTAATTTCCAAAACTGTGGCACTGAAAGGAATTCTATGTCTACAGGACCAGTAGCACCAGGCCGTAAACAAGGTAAATACCAAAAACACAATCGCAGCCGAGTAATAGTGGGCCACGAAATAGTAGATACATGTACCCAATCCAAGAAGAATATTCAAGATTAACCCGGTGGTAATGAAAACCCTAGGTGCCATTCTGGCATACACGATAATCAATACCGACAAAACCACCCCGACAACAATAATGAACCCGAACAAAATAATTGTATTGGTATTCAAGGTAAACGTGTCAGCAGAATCATAAATTGAAGACCCCTGCAACCCATATGTTTTCTTCAACGCATTCAAAGTAATCCCGGCAATGGCAATAAAACCAGCTACCGTCAACAAAAAAAACACAGTAAATGGCCAATCGTTCCATTTAGGTTTGTCAATCTTAAACGACTCCTCAAACTGTTGTGATGGTTGTGGTTGTTCCGCATAATATTTTTCCTGGTTGTTCTCTAAGTCTGGTTGGACATTGTGTACCTGTTCCTCTCCCTGGTAATTAGGGGGATTTGGAGGAGGTGGGTAGTTATTATTACTCATGATTATAATTCAATTCAATAGCCTTTGGTCAATAAACTGAAATAACTGACTAAAGAATAAAAATTATAGTCCCGAATTTCACCTTTACACCATTAAGACTTCATAATAAACGGCTGTAGAGGGCTTATTGTGTTCCATGTGAGATGATTGCGAATTTTTGCTCTCTTTCCAAATTCGTCACAATGATCACGTTTCATGCCCAGGTCATCACCAGCTTCGGTTGTAGGGGATACAACACCCGTCGCTAGGCAAAGAGATAAAGCAGGGTATAGTTGCAATACTCTCTATGGGTCCACTGGGACCCTTTTGGGTGTCCAGGAAACCATCAGACTACATTACTGGTTATTACTCGATGATTGCATCCTCGGATTTGGGTCTGGTTGGGACCGTGGTGCATCGTGCAGAGTGCAGGCTTCGCTGGGCCGGCCGATACATAATTTTACAGGAATAAGGATTGTATATATGTATGCGCGATAAAATTTTCAGAAACTTCTCCGATATAGTGTAACGGCTAGCACGGTTCGCTTTCACCGAGCAAACCCGGGTTCGACTCCCGGTATCGGAAAACTTTTTTTTTGGTCGATCTTTAATTTTTCTGTGATATATTGACGGTTATGATCAGGGCACATATCCTTGACATCTCCGTGGTTCGACTTTCCCACGTACTAGAGCTCCACTTTTTGACTTGCGGCCGTCTACGCAACCTACCATTCTACACATATGCAAGAACAATGTATTTGTCAGCCCTGCCTGAATCACTTCCAGGCACTCCTAGAACCACAACCCTGTTGTCTTTTTAACTGTGACGGACTTGTAGATCCTAGGTCTATCCCTTTTGTGGAGAAGCCTCCGCTCATTGGCTTCTGACCTTTGTTCTGATTGTGACTTCGTCTACAACACAATACAGTGGGCAGTGGGTAAGGTTGTTACGTCTGATCTGATTCTATTGTTAGTGGAATTGTAGTGTAGTCAATATTTGTAGGCTTTTGCTATCTTTTTAAATTTTGCCAACTTTTACCAATTTTTGCTACTTTTGCTATTTAAGCACCGTGATATGATTGTTCTACAATTGCCACAATTCACTGTTTTAAGCTTCTGTGTTAAGTTCCTTTCTATTCGTCTCGATAACCAGCATATGCATGTAGACCAATAATCACCCACTTTACGTGTGATTCACGGGCTATTCTCCTCTAATCATTTGAATGACCTATCGTGCTCAGTCACCCGTATATGATGGTGTCACTAAAAATGAGCATGATAAGGGACTCCACAAATTCATTCCACTACAAGCTTGTAATATATGCACCCCTTCCCCTAATAGCTTAGTAATAAGGTTGGGTTTTCATCTTTATCTTATCAGTGGATGCCACAATATGTAGTACGATAGCAAGACAATTGAAAAAAATACTGTACATGGTGCCCCCTCTCTTAGTCTGATGGCAATCTAAATTGCACTCCGAGGCCCGTACCACGGAGTCTCATGACAGACCCATGATGGTGATTCGTACGTGATACAGAATTGGGGCCCAACATTGATCTATTATCGTACTATAGAGGGGTGGCTTTGTGTAACTATGAGTGGGAAATTTCACTGATTAGTCGATGCTCCATCTTCCAGTAAAGTCAGATGGTGCTATAAAAGGGGACATTAGCCGGAAAATAATTAATTTTGAATATTTTGGTCTAATTGATTATTAATTGTATTGGGAATAGGTACAGTTACACGTTCATATATATATATTCAAGCAAGCAAACCCATCAATACATTTCAATCGTCAATTCTACATAAGCTATATTAAATGTCATTAAGAACTTTAGGATTAAACTCCACATTCAGTCGTCTTTTCAATAAACCTGCAGATCTCACCAAAACCGTACTGACGGTATTGGACTTCAAAAGTAATGCACAGGGGTCGTTGGATAGTATTATGACGAGATGTGACCAGGAAATGGGAGGGTTTTCGTCGGTTAACTTCAATGTCGATCCCGTTTCAAAAGCGGGTCATTTTTACGGATACTTGAATTTGGATGTGCCTAAGGACCACCCAGAGGCTACCAGATCTGGTTATGCAATGTTTAGAACGCGGGACCAGAAGGATTCGTGGCTTTCGGGCAATAGCTACTGGGACTGGTCGCAGTACCAGGCGTTGGTCATGAGAATCAAGGGGGACCGGAGAAAGTACCTTGTTAACATCCAAGCCAACACACCATTGGTGACTGATTTGTTTCAGCACCGGTTATTTTTGCATCATCCTGGCGAATGGGAAACAGTGGTTATACCATTGAACGATTTTGTCATGACCAACTGGGGAGTAATTCAAGATGGAGGCGAATTGAACAAGTCGGAGGTGAAGACCATTGGAATTGGCTTGTTAGATAAACAATACGGACCTTATTCACTTTACGTTGATTGGGTTAAGGTCATGACCGGTGCTGAGGTCGAAGCAGAGACCAGAAAGGCCAGGCAAGAGAAACTGGCCATTCACGGGCCGGAATCGCATACCACTGGTGGCAATGTTTCAACTGAACCTCATATCGGCGCTGCTCTCGGCTCACAGGGCAACGAGGACCCTAAGAACACAGTGTTTTAATTCTTTTGCTACAATTATAGCACGCTTGCGATTACTGTTATATCATGTCTGCTAGCATCTAGCAGATCTTACAGCTCAATGCTTAGTAACAAGTACCAGGCTACTATTTCGTCGGATATTACTTACACCACAGTGTGTTTACTAATGATTTTCCTTTCAGTCCTATGAGCAATTATAGGCCTGGCCATTTCGCTCAATTGTGGCTGGAAGCTTTGATCTTTGCAACCTAAGTGGAGCAACTTTAGTTAAGTGCGTTTATAGTTACTAAGTACATATACATATTGTCATCAATACATATGCTTATTGTTCCCTACTCCTTTTCAAAGTGTGGATGTATTTCTCATCGTTCTATCTAAACCTTTCAATTACCCCAGTTTTGGTTCTAAATTCTTACGCCAAATTACTACGAACATCACTCCTTCTCCACCTTTTGGTTAATATCTCGTATCTATCTATTTAATAAATCTGTCATGCTGCATCTTATGTTACCGGGTTCAGCCCTAACTCAGTGACTTGTTATTCGCCAACATCCAAACACCTACAATAAAAACTTTTCGCGACGTTAATGGAAAATTTATATATAGCAGTTTAATTTTTCAATTTTTTCACTTTTCTTCATTTCTATATTAACTTATAACAAATTATCAAATATGGCAAGAGGCCCGTAAGTCTACATCCATCTTAATTCTCATGAGTATTAGGACTTGGGAAAGGCATTGAGTGTACTGTATGGTCACTCGAATCTATACCGATATTATTTTGCAGTGCAAGTTTTTACAGAGCTGTGAAATAGTATTTAACGGTCACCAATCTTCTTTGAAGGTTTGGAAGGGAGCCTTGTCATGATAATTCGTTAGAGTTGACATTCATACCGGTTACGGTTCTACTTTACTTGCTTTGGTGAAGGAAATTGCTCGCAAAAATTTATCAAGTCATGATGTGGATTGCGTAGTTTGAACACGTAGCAGGGTCTGAATGTCAGGTCTATCGATTAATCATGTTACCCTATGTTTTATTCATGTGTCGTTGTTTGAATGACATCACTAACTATTTTTTAGAAAGAAGCACTTAAAGAGATTAGCAGCCCCATCCCACTGGATGTTGGACAAGTTGTCCGGTACCTATGCCCCAAGACCTTCCGCAGGTCCTCACAAGTTGAGAGAATCTTTACCATTAGTTATTTTCTTAAGAAACAGACTTAAGTATGCCTTAAACGGTAGAGAAGTCAAGGCTATCTTGATGCAAGAACATGTGAAGGTTGATGGAAAGGTCAGAACTGACGCTACTTTCCCAGCCGGTTTCATGGATGTTATCACTTTAGAGGCCACCAACGAACACTTCAGATTGATCTATGACGTCAAGGGTAGATTCACCGTCCACAGAATCACCGCTGAAGAGGCTTCTTACAAGTTAGCTAAGGTCAAGAAGGTACAATTAGGTAAGAGAGGTATTCCATACGTTGTCACCCACGACGGTAGAACTATCAGATACCCAGATCCATTGATCAGAGCTAACGATTCCGTTAAGGTTGACTTAGCTACCGGTAAGATCACCGACTTCATCAGTTTCGACACTGGTAGATTAGTCATGGTTACTGGTGGTCGTAACATGGGTAGAGTTGGTGTTATCACCCACAGAGAAAAGCACGAAGGTGGTTTCGATTTAGTTCACATCAAGGATTCCTTAGAAAACACTTTCGTCACTAGATTGACTAACGTCTTCATCGTCGGTACTGAAGCTGGTAAGCCACATATTTCTTTACCAAAGGGTAAGGGTATTAAGTTATCCATCTCTGAAGAACGTGACAGAAGAAGAAACCTCAACTAATTTATTTTTCAACCATAATAAAGCTAAATTATCTGTGCCAAAATGGTGTGGTAGAATAGTTACCAACAATGCGTATAGATTATCTATTGGATATCAATAAATAGGAAATTGTATAATAGAAGTGTGAATATTAATACTAAACTTGTAAATTGCACATTTTTGGCCTCATGGGCATATATTAATCGGCACTGCATTGTAAATCATTAAATTTCACATTGCTCATTTCTTATCGGCTACGTAAAGAAGCAATTGTAACGACAATTATGACATCTAGATACAGAGTTGAATATGCATTGAAGAGCCATCGTAGGGATGAATTCATTGAGTGGATAAAAGGTTTATTGGCAGTGCCATTCGTTCTTCACGCAGATGTGGAGAATTATGATACCGATTTCACGAAACATTACGAAGATCCTGAGGCATATGAAGACTACCTTTTGTCAAGAGAATATGAAATTGCATTAGAATGTCAAAAGAGATACAAGGAGATATTTGCTGATGTCGAAAAATTGGTGAATCATGCTATCATTATCGATAAGTTGCAGGATAAGAACCCGACGTATGTGGACACCAGTAGATTGAGGAAATTAGTCCCAAGCGTGGGAAGATTTTTCACCCCATTACCTTTAACCAAAGCGTTCTTAGTTGAAGATTCAAGAAGGCTGATATCTAAAAGAAGATTGGTTAGTCCTTCGTTCAATGATGTGAGGTCTATATTGAATACTGCTCAAGTGTTGGCCCTTGCGAAGATGTACCAAGATAGCGATGAATCTGGATCCAGATTGAAATTGATTACGTTCGATGGTGATGTTACACTATACGATGACGGAAGTTCATTAACGCCGGACGCACCTGTTATTGATAAGCTAATTAAGTTGTTATCGATGAATTTATTTATCGGGGTTGTAACTGCTGCTGGGTATCCGGGTCAGCTGGGGGTTCCTCAGTACTATGCAAGGTTGAAGGGCTTGATAGATAGAATCCGTACTACTCCAGAGTTGACTAATCGCCAAAGAGAGAATTTACTTGTTATGGGCGGTGAATCCAATTATTTGTTTAGATATGATAATGAGTTGGGCAACTTGAAATTTATAGAAGGTGACGAGTGGTACTTACCTATAATGTTGAGTTGGGATAAGCTGAAGATTGACTACATTATGCTGACGACAGACAAACATTTAAAACATTTACAGAAAAAGTTCAAATTAGATGACATGGCTAAGACCACAATCATAAGAAAGGAAAGATCCATTGGTATCATTCCTAACCCAGGATATAGGATCTTGCGAGAACACCTAGAAGAGATGGTTCTTTCATGTTCAATGAAATTACAAGAGATCTTGGCAAGAACAGCCAGAAAACCAGTATCCATGGAAGTAGTTCATCAACTGGATACACGCCAACCATTATCCACTCAGAAAGTCGCTGATGATGATATTAAAGTGTGTGCATTTAATGGAGGTTCCGATGTGTGGGTTGATATTGGGGACAAAAGCTTGGGGGTCGAATCTCTACAAAAATATTTGTGCAAAGACGTAAAAGATCAACATAGTGTTTGTCCAATCTTAAAGAGTGAAAGTTTACATATTGGTGATCAATTCGCTAGTCTTGGTGCAAATGATTTTAAAGCAAGATTAAGTGCATGCACAGTGTGGATTGCAAGCCCAAGAGAAACTGTTGCAATCTTGGAAGACTTAATCCAGCGTTTGTCAAATAAATAGCCATCTCTCCGATAACAATTAAATAAAATAGCTATCTCTCCAATAAACAATTAGGTCTAAAGTACACCACGATTAGTTCATAGCTGCATGCAACAATAACGACTAAATTTCGCATTTCAATTTGTTCGCGTATTAGTTTAAATGCTTCCGTAGCTTGATATATATTATACTAACACTAACAATTGGACATATTTTGCAGATATGGTAGCATACTTTGACCCAAACACAGCTCCTTATTTAAACCCATCAGTTGATCGCCGAGTTGCTTTCATGACAGGCGGAAATAGTGGTATTGGCTGGTTTACAATTTTACATTTATACTTGCATGGGTATACGGTTTACATTGCAGGGAGAACCGAATCCAAAGTACGTAAAGCTATTGAGGATATAAAAGTTGAAGCGGAAAAAAGAGTGAATGAGTATACTAAAGAAGAGCAAGATGCAAGATCCTTAGGTTCTCTTGACTATGTTTATTTGGATTTGTTAGACTTGTCAACAGTTGTAACAGCTACAGAATCATTTAGTAAGAAAGAACCAGAATTACACATCTTAATCAATAATGCTGGAATTATGGGTGTACCATATGAAGAGACGAAGGATGGATATGAAATTCAGTACCAAGTTAATTTTGCAAGTCATTTCTTATTGACATTCAAGTTATTGCCATTGATTAAGAAGGTAGCTCTGAAAGGTAGTATTCAACCAAGAATCATCCAACTTACGTCCGAGGGTCATAGAGCCTCATACAGATATTTCCAGCCTAGCGAAAATATGAATAAATTCCCTAACTTTTTGTATACTTGGTACCGTTATGGTGCTGCCAAATTAGCGTCCATACAATTCATGAATTTATTGGCTAAGGAGAATCCTGAGATATTATGTGTTTCAGTTCACCCTGGAATTATCTTCGGTACTGAGTTGTTTAATTATTGGAAAAAATTGCCGATCTTTGGCTATTTGTCGTCGGCGTCCATGTACGCCGTCACGCCATTAATAGGTGTGCAAATCGAAGAAGGAAGTCTTTCTACTTTGAAAACTGCATTGGACCCAAAAATAAACCTGTTGCAAGATAATGGTAAATATTATGTTACAGGAGGCTCCGAAAGCTCAACTTCCAAGGTAGCCCAAAATGAAAAAGATGCTATAACCACTTGGAACTGGAACTTAGATTACATGAGGAAGCATAACTTTACTATTGATGCTCCAACGCTTTAGCCAGGCCTATACCGTGCTATAAGTTCTTCTTTTACCGGTTTTTATATGGACATATATTTTGAGTACGTTAAAACTTTAGAACAGATCTTTGCGAATGAAGCTGTAGTTTATTCATGGGCAAAAAGTACCACACCTGTTCTTGTAAGAGGTGTAAATTTGATAGTTACCGATTAACTCAATCAAGTTTATATACATGCCTAAAGGACGTCGATTGGGAGTCTTAATCAGATCAGATCTTCAATAACATAAAATCTCTTATCAAGATTGTAATTATCAATAAGTGCTCAGTGTTTCATAACCAGGTTTGATCATTTTCTTATCGATCGTATATATCATTCTTTTTTCTTATTTCCATCACTACTTGTTTATCTTTAGTGATATACGTCTACTAAAGAGATAAATACCAGTAATTGCTAGCTAATGAATTATGTTTGGGCTATTCAGTATTTTAAAGTAAGTATATTTATAAGCATACTCTGTAAAAGGATTACAAAACCAAAGGATTACAAATGAGAATAGAATTCTAACACCTGGTTGCAGTAGCTTAGTGTCAGTGATTTTCCCAGTTTTTGGGTCGTATAAATCAGTTGAAAGTTACAACAAAGTTGCAAATGAAATTGCATTATCGAATGTTAATATTGGAGGGTTTCAGGTCCCGATTAATGCATTGCTAAGGAAATCGGGAGACTCCACTGACGGAACCGAAAATGGCGAAGAAAGTTTACAAAGACATTTAATATCGATACAGAAATGGATGGTTTATTGGATAGTATACGCGTCTTTAAGTGTTGTTGAGAGCGTGTTTTTGTTGCGGTACATCGTTCCGATGTACTCATTGATAAGACTTGGGATATCGGTTTGGTTAGTATCCCCCATGATCATTGGGCCAGTTGGAAATACTACAGGAAGCAACAATATTGTAGCTCGAAAGAAGGAATTTGATCTGTTTCTGCAAAGTGGATGTGGATTATGCTACTATCGTTTTATTAAACCTTGGCTAGATGGTGAATTCAAGTTAGTTGGAGGAATTGACTTATCGAAAATCATCCCCCCCTCGATTTTGGGATATCTCAATCAATACGAATTGATTCATTACATTATGCTGTATTTGAATTTGAATAAGCCTGGTGAGGAACGCCCTGGAAGTAACTTTTTTGAATTAGTAAAATCAAAGGTGGTTGATTCGAGCGGTTCGTATTTGTTCGTGAACAACTTTTTTTCAGGTAAAGCCACAGGTGAAGCTTCTGCTACAAAAGATATGTATTTGGATCCAAATTCTCTAGATGAACTGACGGGAGCAGATTCCACCCTGGTGAATGTTTTGTACGAAGAATATGATGTTGTTGATAAGCCGGGAACCCAAGATAGCTTAGGAAACATCAAAAATGAGCCCAAGATCGAAAAGAGAAAGGGTTGGATTTGGTAATGATATAATTAGATACTTGGTTTATACCAGGGTTACGTTTATGATTAAGAAATTTGAGGTATTGGTGTTAATTTTGGATTTTCTTCTCAAGAGGTTATTTATTTATATATTTATTTTTCTACGTTATACTTCAATTCTACAATATAATTTTATGGGTAACTAAATTACTTATCGTTTTTGTTTAGCCTTATACCATTGATGTTTATCGTAGAAGTTTATATTATATACATGAGATTGAATTTATACAGTTATAATCCTAAGTAGTGCTGAAGTATGTGCTTGTCACCCTTTGATTCTTCGAATTCTTTCTGTGAATTAAGCTTCTGTTCACCCAACTTTCTAGCTTTGGAGGGAACAAAGCTATTTGGTAATTCTGGCTTATTATACAAACCATTAAATGCCTTACTTGGCTTCAATTTATCAGATCCAACAGCTGTCTTCATTTCAACAGCTTCGATTTGATCATTATAAGTCTGTTTTGCCTTCTCAACAACAGAGCTAGGCAATTCTGGCCAGATAAATGGTTCTTCCATATCAATTGTCATTTTCTTAAATTGTGGACCTCTATAACGAGCATGATCATCAGGACCTCTGGTGAACTTAGCATGCAATAATTGAACGGTAACGTTCAATGCTCTCAATCCATAAACGTGCCACAAATAATCTCTCAAGTCCATTTTGTTGAAGTTTCTTGGTACTAAAAATTTAGCTTGATATGGAGTATGTTTTGCATTAGGTCTCAACAAGCAAACACGGGCCTTAGGCAAATAAATCTTCTTCTCCCCGAGTCTGAAATGTGGTTCTCCTGTGGCAACTTCCTCTTGATGTTTGTCAAAGTTTCTTCTGGCAATCTTGTCACTGTTTGATCTATACTTTATAGGAATTGGTTTTCCGGTTTCAGCATACCTTTTTTTAATCTCTGTGCTTGGAAATAATGTATCTGTTACCGATTGAGAGAGTAATGGTTCTCTTTCTCTTCTGAACCCATACCTTGGCTTGTCAAGTGTTATGTCGTTCACGTTAACTTTGGGATATTTCCTTGGATTCTCCTTGTAATGGATGGATCTTTTCGATGTATTCCATATAGATGAGAAAATCCCCAACTTTTTATTCATCATCATGTTGCTAATATCTTCTGCAATCACCTTGTTCTATGTATGTACTTCAAGAGACTGATTTGAACCTATATGAAAAATTTCTTTTTGTGTAACTCTCCGGGTCGTGCGACAGTGACAACGCTCGTTGACTTTTTTTGTTTTGAACTAGGCTGGCGGTTCATGATGAAGGCAAAGCTACAATTAAGTCTTAGATTAATCAGCAATCCTTGTGTAAAGATCCTATAATAGTTACATAGATCATGTCTCAGGAACAAGCTGTTGAGGATCCATACTTGTATGACGATGATTCAGAGAGTATTACGCCAGAAAATTGTTGGACAGTTATCTCGTCGTTTTTTCAAGAGAAAGGGTTAGTATCACAACAACTTGATTCATTCGATGAATTTATTGAAACGACTATCCAGGAATTGGTATGGGAAGATTCTCATTTGATTTTAGACCAACCGGCACAGCATACGTCTGAAGATGATCATGAAAACAGACGTTATGAAATCACATTTGGGAAGATTTATATTTCGAAACCTACGCAGACGGAAGGAGATGGTACGACCCATCCGATGTTCCCACAAGAAGCCAGATTGCGTAACTTGACTTATTCATCGCCTTTGTACGTAGATATGACTAAGAAGGTACTCAAGTCCGATGATAACAATAGGGTGGATAATGAGTTGGAATGGGTGGAAGAAAAAATCGAGGATGAAGGTCCACAAACAAAGGTTTACTTGGGTAAGGTGCCTATTATGTTGAGATCTAAGTTCTGTATGTTGCGTGGATTAGGAGAGCACGAATTTTACGAATTAAAGGAATGTCCTTACGATATGGGTGGTTATTTCGTCATTAACGGGTCTGAAAAGGTCTTGATTGCTCAGGAAAGAAGTGCCGCCAATATCGTTCAAGTTTTCAAGAAAGCAGCACCATCACCAATTTCTCATATTGCAGAAATCAGGTCTGCAATTGAAAAGGGTTCTCGTTTAATTTCTTCAATGCAAATTAAATTATATGGTAGAGATGACAAGGGTTCGTCTGGAAGAACTATCAAGGCTACCTTACCATATATTAAGGAAGATATTCCAATTGTTATTGTCTTCAGAGCGTTAGGTGTTGTGCCCGATGGTGATATTTTGGAACATATTTGTTACGATGCAAATGATTGGCAAATGTTGGAAATGTTGAAACCTTGTGTGGAAGAGGGTTTTGTAATCCAAGAGCGTGAAGTTGCGCTTGATTTTATTGGGAGAAGAGGTGTTTTGGGTATAAGAAGGGAAAAGCGTATTCAATATGCTAAAGATATTTTACAAAAGGAATTATTACCTAATATTACTCAAGAAGAAGGGTTTGAAACCAGAAAAGCTTTCTTTTTAGGTTACATGGTTAACAGATTATTATTATGTGCCTTAGAAAGAAAAGAACCAGATGATAGAGATCATTTTGGTAAAAAGAGATTAGATTTAGCAGGTCCATTATTAGCTAACTTGTTCCGTATTTTATTCAAAAAATTAACAAAAGATATCTATAATTATATGCAAAGATGTGTTGAAAATGATAAAGAATTTAACTTGACATTGGCTGTCAAATCACAAACTATAACTGATGGTTTGCGTTACTCTTTAGCAACGGGTAACTGGGGTGAACAAAAGAAGGCAATGAGTTCCCGTGCTGGTGTTTCTCAAGTTTTGAATCGTTATACATACTCTTCTACTTTGTCACATTTAAGAAGAACCAATACTCCTATTGGTCGTGATGGTAAGATCGCTAAACCTAGACAATTACATAATACTCATTGGGGTCTTGTCTGTCCTGCAGAAACCCCAGAAGGTCAAGCGTGTGGTTTGGTCAAGAATTTGTCTTTGATGTCGTGTATATCTGTTGGTACTTCATCAGAACCAATATTGTATTTCTTGGAAGAATGGGGTATGGAACCTTTGGAAGATTATGTACCATCGAATTCTCCTGATTCAACAAGAGTTTTTGTTAACGGTGTATGGGTTGGTACCCATAGAGAACCTGCTCATTTGGTTGACACTATGCGTAATTTAAGAAGAAGAGGTGATATTTCTCCCGAAGTTTCTATTATTAGAGATATAAGAGAGAAAGAATTTAAGATTTTCACTGATGCAGGTCGTGTTTACCGTCCATTATTTATTGTCGACGATGATGCAGAATCTGAAACCAAGGGTGAATTAAAATTAAAGAAAGAGCATGTACATAAATTAATTAATGCCGAATATGATGATTACGGCGACGATCCAGATAGTTTGAGTTATTCTTGGTCCTCATTAGTCAATGACGGTATTGTAGAATATGTTGATGCAGAAGAAGAAGAAACCATAATGATTGCTATGACTCCAGAAGATTTGGAAACAAGCAGAAGTACTTTATCAGAGTCAGAACAGAAGGATATGCAACTTGAAGAACAAGAAGTTGACCCTGCAAAGAGAATCAAGCCCACGCTTGGATTACATACATTTACCCATTGTGAAATCCATCCTTCAATGATTCTAGGAGTTGCGGCCTCTATTATTCCATTCCCAGATCATAATCAATCGCCTCGTAATACTTATCAATCTGCTATGGGTAAGCAAGCTATGGGTGTATTCTTAACTAACTATGCTGTGAGAATGGATACAATGGCTAATATCTTATACTATCCACAAAAGCCATTGGCCACTACTAGATCTATGGAATACTTGAAGTTCCGTGAATTACCAGCTGGTCAAAATGCAATTGTTGCTATTGCATGTTACTCTGGTTACAATCAAGAAGATTCGATGATTATGAACCAGTCATCAATTGACAGAGGTTTATTCAGATCTCTTTTCTTTAGATCTTATATGGATTTAGAGAAAAGGCAAGGTATGAAAGCTTTAGAAACATTTGAAAAGCCTACAAGATCAGATACCTTGAGATTAAGACATGGTACATATGAGAAGTTAGATGACGATGGGTTAATCGCTCCTGGTGTAAGAGTAAGTGGTGAAGACATTATCATTGGTAAGACAACTCCAATTCCACCTGATACAGAAGAATTAGGTCAAAGAACCCAATATCATACAAAGAGAGATGCTTCGACACCTTTAAGAAGTACAGAATCTGGTATTGTGGATCAAGTTCTTTTGACTACTAATGGGGATGGTGCTAAATTCGTAAAGGTTAGAATGAGAACCACAAAGATTCCACAAATTGGTGATAAATTTGCCTCTAGACACGGTCAAAAAGGTACAATTGGTGTCACATATAGACATGAAGATATGCCTTTTACGTCGCAAGGTGTTGTTCCAGATTTGATTATCAACCCACATGCTATTCCATCTCGTATGACAGTTGCCCATTTAATCGAATGTTTATTATCTAAAGTTTCTTCATTATCTGGGCTTGAAGGTGACGCATCACCTTTCACCGATGTTACTGCTGAGGCGGTTTCCAAATTGTTGAGAGAACACGGTTATCAATCAAGAGGATTTGAAGTTATGTATAATGGTCATACAGGTAAGAAATTAATGGCTCAAGTCTTCTTCGGTCCAACTTATTATCAAAGATTAAGACATATGGTCGATGACAAGATTCATGCTAGGGCTAGAGGTCCAGTTCAAGTTTTAACAAGACAGCCTGTCGAAGGTAGATCGAGAGATGGTGGTTTGCGTTTCGGGGAAATGGAAAGAGATTGTATGATTGCTCATGGTGCTGCAGGTTTCTTGAAAGAAAGATTAATGGAAGCTTCTGATGCCTTTAGAGTTCACGTATGTGGTATTTGTGGTTTGATGTCTGTTATTGCTAACTTGAAGAAGAATCAATTTGAATGTCGTTCCTGTAAGAATAAGACGAATATTTACCAAATTCATATACCATATGCAGCCAAGTTATTATTCCAAGAATTAATGGCAATGAACATTTCTCCTAGGTTGTACACTGAAAGATCGGGCGTGTCAATCCGTGTCTAATTGCAAGAACATTGGAATAATTTAAATATAGATGCAATTAACCATTATTTTATTTAAAGAATAATTAACATAAGTAAAAAAACTAAAAAAAAACCCTGGGGGTACATTAATAGTTGTAGTATATATACATTATATAATTAAAAATAAGTCTGACTTTATATCTTCAGTGTATACAATTACAGATCGCAATATGATAATATCATTCAATTTAAATTATTTACAAAATCCCAAATATTTACACCATTAAATAGAATTATTTAAAGAAAAGAACGTTACAGCGTACGGGAAATTAACTTTCCAAATACTTTGCACGAAGATCTTGCATTACCTTTTCTTTTCTGTTTAATTCGGCCAATTTACTCTTCATCTCCTTCATCTCGTCAGCGTATGCAATCAAATTTTGCTTATAAGGGTGTTCATCTCCATCATAAAGCTTCAATCTGTCCATTCTAATGAGTCTTAATTTATTCTTTGGAATCATCCCTTTCACTGCTCTTCTCAACACTTCTGCGTACCCTTTGTTAGCGATCATCCTCTCCATAGGCACCAATTTTAATGAACCAGGACGAGTGGTATGCGACCAGTAAGTCCTGTCTTGTAATTTATTACCAGTTACTTTCAAATGTGCACAGTTGGTGACGACAACGTAGTCACCGTGGTCTCTATTTGGCGAGAACGTTGGCTTATGTTTCCCTTGTAACGTTAATGCTATGCTTGATGCTAGACGACCCAAAGTCCTTTCATCAGCAGCAACATCAACATGATGCCATACTCTTGATAAAGCAAGAGCCGAATTACCAATTCTCTGAGACATTTTGCTTAATAGTATAGAATGATAGTATGTGTAAATATGTCCGAAATGACTTATAGACTGAAAAATTTGGTTAGAAACTTCGGCAAATGTCGCAAAAAGTTTTGTCACCAAATGTCGCGCTAATGTTGATTTTTCAACAACCAACTTTCATCGACAGTAGGAATATATTGAAGTCTGATATAAAGCTTAGTGAATAAAGCATTGTATAATAATTAATTTAAAGTAAACTCATCATTTTTATTTTTTCGTGGTTTATTAATTCATTCCTAGAAGTTTCATCTAATTCAGATCCATACGCATATAGACAAGCTCAACACCAATTGCATAATCTAATAGATAAATACCAGAATGTTTTTCTTGAAGGATTTATCATTAAATTTAACTTTACATCCGTCATATTTTGGTCCACAAATGGATCAATACTTAAGAGACAAATTATTAAGTGACGTAGAAGGGACATGTACAGGTCAGTTTGGGTATATAGTGTGTGTTTTAGATTGTATGAACATTGACGTTGGGAAGGGAAGAGTCATACCAGGTTCAGGGGTAGCGGAGTTTGAAGTGAAATATAGGGCGGTGGTTTGGAAACCATTCAAAGGTGAGGTTGTGGATGCGGTCGTTACGACTGTGAATAAGATGGGGTTTTTTGCTGATGTCGGACCATTATCAGTATTTGTAAGTACTCACTTAATTCCATCAGACATGAAATTCAATCCTTCTGCTAATCCTCCAGCATACGTTAGTCCGGACGAAAATATTGAAAAGGGATCGAGAGTGAGATTGAAGATTGTTGGTACCAGAACCGATGTGAATGAAATTTATGCTATCGGTAGTATTAAAGAAGATTATTTGGGCCCAAGTCCTATGTGATTTCAACGAGCTTCTTTACTATTTAATTGTTCTTTAAAACCCCCTGTATTATTAAATCGCTTAATTAATTAAAAATCTACATCCTATGAGACTTCGTTTTACATAGTCAATAAAACCTATTACGATTTAAATATATAAATATATAAATGATTCTATATTTTGCAGTTTTTTTGTACAAATTTAATCAACCATGCAAACGTTGATTACTTAAAGTATCATACACTGGTTTCGATGGAGTTGTGTCGTGATTGGTATCTTTACCCTCCATCGAATCATTGTGATCGGGATTCATTTTTTTATTCCAAGTTCTACCAGAACTAGAACCGGACAAACTTCGCTTCTTATCAGAGCTAGTGCCGAGTCTCATATTATCGATCTTCCCTTTGAGTGGCGTTAACTCGCTTTTTTGTGATGGAGGTGGTTGAGCTGATGGTTGGTTCATATGCATAGAATCTTCACTAAGAACAATTCCTAGTAAACCAACTACACCTTGTTGTTTATCTGACGTCACAGGCTCGGAATGGTTTTTATTCACTAGATCAAATGCCGATCGAGAATACCTAAGTGAATTGGGTTGGGTGGAGGTCGATACTGATGTTTTATCCAGAGACTTTGTAGGATCATAATTGGATCTATTGTCAGAACCATTCATATTAGAAGCTTGTTTTTGATTATAGCCTTGATTTGGTGGTTCGACTAGAGAAGCCTGCTTCAAATTGTATAAAGGTAGATTTTGGCTCTGAAGTGGACTTTTTACATTGGCATCTAGTTCGCGTGATGTATCTGATGACTGATGCTGCGCTTTATCGGTGCGATTTATTCGATAATCGTTTATGTTATTTCCCATCTGTTGATTTGATTCTCGATGGGTGGGATTATGAGATTGATAGATATTGGAAAGGGAATCCCTACCATAGAATATCATGGGCGACGGACGTGATGAATTTGGCGTCCGTGATATGTTAGCAGCCAAAGATGGACCATGCTTACTATGTTCACGAGGAGCTTCATAAATATTCGAAATGGTTGATCTTTGATTTGTTATTTGATTAGGAGTAGGCTTAGATAGTTTATACGGCTGTCTATCATCACAGTTTCGAATACCCAACAGACTTTCGAGTTGATGTATGTTTGGAAGTGTGCCCGAATTTTGAGAAGGATTCACTTTCATTGGGAGCTGTTTTAATGGTCGAAGCTTAGCTCCTAGCAAGGTCGTAGGCGGATCGCTATAACTTTTATTCTTTTCTCGAACGTTCTGTTCATGCGCTTCCAGGATTAATGGGACTGGCACAGAGGTGCTTCTTTGATTTGAAGTCGTTTGACCTTTAGGCTGTTCTAATCGTGGCATTGGTTCTGTCATAGAAGTGCGTTTAGGAGCTAACGATGAAGACATCAGATTGATATTTGTTACCGGTTGCATTCTTCTATCTTCCATAGGCCCATTATTTGAAATTGGATGTAACCCATGAATTTGTTGAATACTCATACGTTCTTGATCTTGCAGTAACAGGGTATTATTAAACTGACCACCCAGCACCAGTCTATTATGTGATGGATGATTTATTGAATGATGAACTGGGGGCGGTGCTGAACGTCTAATCAACAGTTCGTTATTCATTGGATTAGAATTGGTATTTTGATTAACAGGAGCAACTATATTTCCTTCGGTTTCAGTATTCTTCCTATTGTTTGTAGGGTTAAATCGATTCAGATTATTTGTAGCGCCGTGAAGTGGTGGTACATTTCTTGCATCAATTTTATTTCCAAATTCATTGTTGCTAGCTCCTGATTTCGGATTTGTTGTATCAGAATGAGAATTATTATGTTCATTTATAGTTGACTTTCTTGCTGACAAAGTATCTGGAACATCTCTGTTACTAGCTGATAGAGTTTCATCATTATGAGCAAGGGTTTGTTGATTTATAGGCGGTAAGCTGATATTGTTATTATTACTTTTCGAACGATTGGGAACATTGTTATCTCGAATAGTAGGGAGATTCAAACTGTGAACGTCGCTGTCGCTTACGACTGAAGCCTGATCAGAAATCGTATTCGAACGAAATAAATTAGGTGGTTGTATCCTATTTGAATCCAGTAAAGTAAGCATCTGTGCTGCTATTCCATATGGCGAATATGGGTCAGTTGTTTCATTCATATCTACGTCATCATCCGTATCACTATCAATAGAGATAATCTCAATTGCTTCTGGTTGCGAACTTGGTGTACGTTCCCTTGTCTCTTCAGATAAGACCCTAGACAGTGGACTTCTTTTTACATGTGTAAACTTATTCTCATATGAACTTTCAACACTTCTAGAATTATTATTATTATTATTAGTGTTAGTGTTATTATTGTTGCTGTTCGACGTTTCATTTATAGCTTCCCACGTTCCATCATCATTAATCGTAACATTCTCTACTTCATGATTAGTATTATCTAGAATATCACAATAATAATCTGAAATTGCTAAATGAGAGATTTCAAGTTTATTAGAACAAACAGGACATATCCAATTAGGTACCTGCTCCTGTAATTGAAGGTACGATAAACCATCAAAGCATTGAATATGTTGACAAAATATAGATTTTGTGGGGTATCTCATTCTAGCGTATGTCAAAGGGCATTTTAATGATATTGATGAAGTAGAAACAATAATATCATCATCTTCCCCATCGTCATTTGAATACTCCTTCTTAATTTCTAAGATAGTAGAGTTTTTATGTATGTGAGGCTGTTCGACAATAGTTTGGATGATTTCTTCACAAGAAACATATTCCACAATATATAGGTATAGAAGGAAACTTTCTGTTGTACCGGCATACGCCATTTCAATTTTATTTAACTGCTGATCAGGCAAGATATGAGCCGTTACATTTGCGGGCCTAGCTGTTCCTGGTTTACCTTTAATTCCTCGAACATTTTCTTTGATGTGAGTTCCATTTACGTGGATTTCTATTGGTATTGGAAACTGTAAAAGGGCCGATGAAGTGGAAGCCGTGGAATTATTAGACACACCACATAGGAGATAGAATCTTATTTTTTCATCAGAAAGTTTAAATAATTTGTTCTCTTCGTCATTCAAAATAAACTGATACCTACAAACAGCCTTAACCTTGCTCGGTATAGCTATCTGTGGACTACCATGTACTAGTCGTTTCAATTTATAGAATGGGCTTTCTTTAAAGTACAATACATGCCCTTTATACGGATGTGATTCATTACTAGACTTATTTTGCGATGATGAAGAAGATGACGATAACTGATTTTTATAATTCGAGTACTGACTTATGCCTTCAACAAAGCTATATGCACCAGTTCTTAAGGCGTCATATAGTGCTGTGAAGTTTGGAATTGGATCATTATTTCTTACTTTAAGTACTATCGTTCTGACCGCAAGTAATCTCACATTATCATTGAATCTTCTACCTTGCTCCAAATAACCCACCACTCGATCAATAAGATCCTGTTTCTTTCCTGAAAGTGGCAACGATAGGCATCTAACAATATCTTTGATCTGAGGTACCTTTAATTTATTTAGACATCCTATTGTATCAGAATATTCTTCATCTGACAAAATCGCTTGATTGCCAATACCACTCATACTTGATAACGTATTCCGTGTAGCTTAATGTCCTTCGCGTGAATATAGTGCCATATAACTGTTACTAAGTGATATTAATTTATACTAGGCAATATACATTAATAAACATCAACTCTATCAATAATTTTTTTTTTCTTCAAACACGCATTAACAAAAATTGGATATAATTAATTTATTTTATCAAGCTATATAAGACGTAATTAGGATATATAAACCAATGTATAAATAACGAAATACAATCCTTACATTCTATCAACAGGAGTTAAACCTAACAATGTCATACCATTATGTAAAACTTGTCTGGCTGAAACATACAAAGCCAACCTAGCGACGGCTAACTCTTTCTCTTGACCAGCAACCCATAAAATATCGTAACACTGAGAAACAATATGAGTCAAGTTGAATAAGTATGTGACGATAGTAGAAGGTTCATGGGTCTTCAATGCTTTCTGTATGGTGTCAGGGTATTGAGCGAGGGTTCTAATCAAGTTTGCTGCGCATGGTTCAGTCAATAAATCGTAATTTGCATGCAACAATTCTTCCTCGGAGATGTCAGACTTTCTTTGAACAGATCTCAAACGGGAATGGGCATATTGTAAGTATGGACCAGTATCACCTTCGAATGAAGTCATTCTATCCCATTTGAATTCGTAGTTATTGATACGCTTAGATTGCATATCTTGAATCATAACAGCTGAGATACCGACCAAGTCAGCAATCAAGTCAGGGTTTTCAATTTGAGCGTATTTGGCTTCATTCTTCTTCATGACTTCGTGCATTTTGTCCTTAGTTTCTTCTAAAATATTGTCTAAGAAAACGACAGTACCCTTTCTAGTAGACATACCTTGAACCATACCAAAATTGACATGCTCTAAGGATTTGGCCCATTCGAAACCCATTTGTTTTAAGATTTCAAAGAATTGGGCAACATGCAAGTCTTGTTGCGAAGCTATAACATAAATCATCTTGTCAAACTTATATGTATCGTAACGCTTAACAGCTTCACCAACATCACGAGTTAAATACAAAGAAGTACCATCAGATTTTTCTACTAAACACTTACCCAATTTCTTGTTGAATTTAGTTAAATCAATTAATTTAGCACCTCTGTCTTCGTGAAGTAATCCCCTCTTATCGAACGTATCTGTGGCTGCTTTCATACTTTCTTTAGAAACTTGAGATTCACCAGAATAGACATCATACTTAATATTAAGACGGGCGTATGTGTCAATGTATTTGTGAATAGATAATTCTCTGAATCTTTTCCAAATCTTTAAAGCTTCTTCGTCACCATTTTCCATTCTCTTGAAATAAGCTCTTGCCTTATCATTCGTACCATCGACTGCATCTTCACCTTCGTCGGTCACATCCTTGTTAACCTTAACATAAACTTCAAATAAATGGTTAATTGGGTCCTTTGCTAAGCTTTCTTCGGAGCCATATTTTTCGAAACCTACTGCTAACAAACCAAACTGTTTACCCCAATCACCTAAGTAGTTAATTCTGGTAACGTCCCAGCCACCTTTTTCATACAAATTAGATAAGAAACCTCCAATAATGGTAGATCTTAAATGACCAGCATGGAATGGTTTGGCGATGTTAGGAGAAGAGAATTCAATAACAACCTTCTTGTTAAGACCAATTGGTAACGAACCGTAATTATCGGTTCTGACTAACGTATCTCTGATAACCAAGTTAAATAACAATTCCTTACTGAAAAAAAATTGAAGAAATGGACCTTCAGCCTTAACATCTGACAAGTACTTACCCTTGTCGAAGCTTTCGCACCATTCAGTAGCCTTTTCTTTAGGATTAATACCCTTCAATCTTAACCTTGGAATTGGAATGATTAAATCACCCTTGTCTAAAGTAGAAGGCGAGTCTAACGATTGGAAAATAAGTTCCCTTTCTACGTTGGATATTCTGTGTAATTCGTTCGTAATATAGTTTCTCAACACATCAGTTACGTTGGATTCTGGGTACGAATCCTTTAAGCTTTCAGGTTGACTTAAGCCCAACTTGCTTAAACCTTCGCTAATTGACTTCATTTCTTGAGCACTTGACATCCTCCTTATAGTATTATGTGTAATGAATCTATAGTTAGAAAATAGACGCTTCAAATATCTCATTAAAGGATTGTAGCATTGCAGAGGAACAGTAGTATCGATGAAAAAAATTCGGTGAGTCAAGATGCCATATGCCTGGTTCACACACGCAACTGATTTGATCTACTAGTAGAAGGACGGAGATTTGTTAGATCACACTATATACTTGAAGTTTGTGGTACTTGAAGTATAAGGACAAATAACGTATAAGGAAAACCAACGTTTAATTAGTTTTTAAGCAAAAAAAAATGATTAAAAACAGAAGTTGCAAATATTCCGATGTAAATGAATTATTAAGGTCAACCCTAGAGGCCTACACTACGTTTGGTTCCGGACTGTACCATATTCGATATATATGCTCATAAATAACCTTATTTAGTTATCAAGTTGTAATTTAGGAATTTTTCTGGGGTGAAATGAACGACTAAAACAAGGAACCTTAGAAAAGAATTGTTGCTAAGCACATAAGATATGGGGTATATCTGATACTCCGGATACAATCTAGAGCAAGGTCCACGTACTATTATATACCTACTGTTATATACTAGCATCATATATTACTGCTGGCTTGTAGAGACATGATTCTGACGTAGTCGTTATTCCTGAAAAATTGAGTGTAGATTAGCGCACTATTAAAAATCGGATTTCTAGTGAACAAGCAGGGTGTAAACATTATTCATCCAAATATACTACAGTATGAATTCGGACGATAATATTAAGAAACTAACGGAGATGGGATTTAGTGAGGAGCAAGCGGTTAAAGCATTAAATATTACGAAGAATGATGTGGAATCGGCAATTGCTTATCTTTTCGAAGATCCTATTGAAATTGATACTCCAAACGCTAATGATCAATTGGTACCATATAATGATAGTATAAATGTACTGAACCCAAGTGATATACCAGATTTTTCGCTGTATCAGACAGTGCCTCAAGAATATGGGTCGGTATCAGAAAATGTACAATATGACGAAGAAGAGAGGACGGAAGAACAGGACGAGGATATAGATTTTGAACATTATGAATATTTTGAAAAGCCGGTAGATGTCTGTATGTTCGACAATGTGGAAAATATGCAAAGGGAAGATGGACCACCAGTGATATTAAATAGAAGATGTGGATTTTTGGAAAACTATTATATCCCTATAATTACAATATTAGCACAATTGGCCGAAGTCAAATCAATATTTTTAAGATCACTCGGAAACGAACTACAATATGACAGTAACTGGGCAATCGGTAAACCTCAGAATATTGATATTCCTTCAGATTTGGATGAGCTGAAGGAATCATCTTTCAAGTTTTTCATTGAATTACAGAAGGCCATTGGTTTCTTAGATGGCCAAAGTAAAAGGACATTTATAAGTGGCGACAGCTTGATCGTCAATTTGCCTAATGATATGAAGAGACGTTTAGTCAATAACAGAATTGAAACTGTGGACGAATTATTACCCAAGTTATATGAAAGTTTGCAAAATAATTCTGATGCGATGTTTGGTCATGAAGATATCGTTGATAAGTTATTTAAATCAAGTGTGGAAAGCGTTAATGAAGAGTTGATTAATAATATTTTCACATTTGACGTCGATGCCGAATATAGACATAAATCTCTATATGACAGTTTTAATGAATTATTCTGGGGTAGTGACTTAGAAATGCTTGGTAACGTTAGGTTAATAGATACATCCAAAATATTAACCATTCAGCTAGTTGGGGATGAGGATTCATATGCTGACACTAATTTCCAAGTTGACGAAATATTTTATCCTGAATTATATAGTTCGGAGTACTATCCTATAATCAGTGAGATGAATAACAAAAGAAATGAAATAATTAAACAAAGAATGAAGATTAGTAATGAAATTATGCAACTCAACTCCTTTGAGGGGAAGAAGGTTAAGGGCTTCTTGGAGACAACAATTGAATATTTGAAAGGCCAAGGTAGTGATACGAATGATTTGCACCAATTAAGTGAGAAAATTGGTGATCAAAAAATTAAGCTTACTGAAGACTTGGATGGCTTGAATGAGCTGTACACAAAATTAGATGTTAGAAATTATGAAAATGTCTTGGAGAAGATCCGATGTCAAAATGGTAAGCTTCCTACTAAATATGCTTTAATTGGTATAGTGCTATCCGACTCTGAGTATTATTACAAGTATAAGGGAACCAATACCTGGATTTACCAAAAAGGTGTTTATTCTCCTAATAATATTGTTGTCGATTACGAAGTTGATGAACTTGATTTTGCGGCCATACAGCAAGATATTTTGCAATATACCACGGTTGGAGCCAAACCAATGCTGTTGATATATGCATCAGTTGATATTTTAGATAACGGTTTTAGCCTTGACAACGACAAACTACATGACTTTTTTACTGCAGACAACACGAAATACAGCAAACAATTAGCAGAGGCTGAAGAATCAAGAAAAGATAGTGATATGGATGATTGCAAAGATATGAAACAACGTCTGAGTGATTCCAGTGAACCGAATAGCCCTGAACAGGATGAGAATGAACACCCCAATGACGATACTTTGATTGATATATAGTCTACTTGGCAACAAATTGTATTAACTTAATAAATTAAGTAGCTAATTATTTATAAACCTTGTTTACTTGGTTTGATATATAATTGTCTTGTAATACTGATTTATAATAGGAACAATAATGTACTCTTACAATAGATTTGTAAAAATATGCGCATCGTATAATCTCGTATGTAGCTGTGTGGGAGAAACCAGCATTTCTTGAATATTTTGAGCTATTGACCTGTTCCAATGTTTGCAACTGGAGATTAATAAATAAAGGTGACTTAAAGGATTGGTTCATTGGAAACAATTGGAGTATTACCCATTTTAGGAACTGATATCTAGGACTATGTTCGGACAAGTCTAGGCTAAAAAGAGCCAGGCGCGCATATTCTTCTGAAAAAGAATTATGGAAGTTTCCAATTATTACTATAAGACTATTTATTGAATGTCAAAGCAATATGAAACATGAAGCGTGCTATTCAAAGGTATTTGAAGCTTCGTAAAACTTTCCTCGTTCTAATGGGGTTTATTTTAGTCGTCTTTACCTTACAATTTTTCAATTCATTAGTTTACCACTCACTTCCACTCGAAATATTTGATAATGATAATGTCGACACCAATAAGGTAGTTGTGGATATTAAAATACAGAGATGCTTTAAATCTGGTAGTTGCAACAAATCTCCGGGTTGGAATAGACTTTCTAAGCCATTGAATATGTTCTCCAAGTCGATGACGATGTATGACTATCATCTAGTTGTAAAATGTGAACAGATAAATCAAGCCACTAGAATTATGACTGATTTTCAAATAATTACTGGCCCGGTTGCTCCAAAAGGTGATGGTTGGGTACAAGAATCCTATAAAAATTTGATATTATGGAAACAATACACGAACACCAATTCTCCAGAATTTGAATCTGCTCAATTAATTCGAGAGGTAAATATTTTGTTTGGAGACAAAGATTTACATGATTCAAGAGCACAATGGGATTTTCAGTATCAGGAGTCGCCAATGCCATTCAATTCGTTATTGCCAGTGCATTTGTCACTATTTAAGCTTTCAAGGTCAGAAGAACAGGAATATCTTCAAAACTTTACAGATTTTAGCGTTTTAAAGCGAGAAGGAAATATACTCACAGAAAAGTCCAATTTTAGGATAATGCAAATAAGTGATCTTCACTTCAGTTCTGATTATGAAGTATGTGATGATCGTGGTTGCAAACTGGATACAAAGACTCTAAAATTCATCGAAGATTCTCTTGAATCAGACAATATTGATTTTGTTGTAATAACAGGCGATCTAATTGATCAGTTTAAAGTGAAGGACTTTAAATCTGTAATATTAAAGGGATTAGCACCAATATTGCGTAAAAAAATCCCTTTCATTTTCACATTCGGTGAACTGGACAGCAACGAGTTTAATAATAAGAACAGTAATATTATCAAGTTTCAAATTTTACAATTCATTTCGACTTTACCGAATTGTTATAATTACGTTCCTAACCAAGAAAACCATGTGCATGGCTTAACCAACTACAATCTCAAGCTTATACGAAATCAGAATTCCGTTCCAAGTGCTATCTTTACTGTACTTGATTCTGAAAGCCATAAAATAGACGCTTCTCAAATTAATAGTCTCTATAGACTAAACAAAGACTTGCCCCAAAATCTATTCAAACTATTGTTCTTTCACTATCCATTGCCAAATTTTAGACCCACTGGTAAGTTCAAGTTAATTGGATCCTACAATGAAAAACATCAGTTGAATACAGAAACAAGTCATAGCTATCGGGATGATATTGTCAATTGCGGCTATAATGTTATTTCTGTCGGACATGAGCATGAAAATGACGCATGCGTCCTTAGTGAAAAACACGATCCAGAGACTAAAGAGAATATAAATGAAGCATGGCTTTGCTACAGTGGAATCACTGGTGATTCTGGTGTTACCAAGTTAAATGAAGACTCTGACCGAAAACTAAGAGTTTTTGAAATAATATTCGATAATAAAAGATTGATCAGTTGGAAGAGAAGTCTGAACAAAGGCATTGGTTTTGATTATCAAATTATTCACCAATTTGTATAATTTGTATTAGACAGTATTTTATATTTCGTTTAGAGCAATGTTGAATGATTTTCATTTACGTTTCAAATGTACTCTCATAGTTTAATACTACTGAAATAATTTTCAGAAAGATGGTCATCGCGCACTATAAATTTTTATATTCAAGTCTGATTTTAATTCATTAATCTATTCTTTTACTAATACTTGTTTAGATAACTAATATGGGAAAGGCTAAGAAGACTAGAAAGTTTGCTTTGGTTAAGCGTACACTTAATGCAAAGGATCCACGTATAAATAAAAATAAGGCCGTAGCGAAGAAAGATGAAAAAGATCCAGAGTTAACCAAAAGTGTTCCACAAGTGTCATCATCATTATTCTTCCAATTCAATAAGTCCATCAAACCACCCTATCAGATTTTGATAGATACGAATTTCATAAATTTTAGTATTCAGAAGAAAATCGATATTACCAAAGGAATGATGGACACGTTATTTGCTAAATGTATTCCAATAATAACTGATTGTGTAATGGCTGAATTAGAGAAGTTAGGCCCTAAATATAGAATTGCTTTGAAATTAGCAAAAGATCCTAGAATCCAACGTTTAAGTTGCTCTCATAAGGGAACGTACGCTGATGACTGCCTCGTGAATAGAGTAATTCAGCATAAGTGTTACATTGTTGCTACCAACGATGCCGATTTGAAGAGAAGAATACGGAAGGTTCCCGGTGTTCCTATAATGAGTGTCGGTGGACACGCTTACGTTATAGAAAGGTTACCTGATGTTTTCTGAGTTGGCTACATAAAATTTACTATAATACCTTTGCTCTGAATTTATTATAGTACAAAAGGCATAATTTAGTATCATATTCACGTTTGGCATAATGTATATATTTGCTACGGAAACAGGGATTCTAAGTTATGTGAATATGAATATTGGTGAAGCTATATAAGTTATTCTTTATTTAAGATCGGGTATTAAATCTGTATTACAAACTGCAATATGTATAATATCTTCCAAATTAAGTATATAAAATTTGCAATACTTAAGTGCACTTGCACCCATTTCACAAATGAAAATAGGTTAATTGTTTAGTAAAATAAATATGAAATCTTTCCAATCAAACAATCTAAGCCAATCTTCATTTCTAAAGCCGTCATCATCTCATTACGGCAACGCACCTAGTGCGCTGAATAACAAAGAAAATTACTACAAATTCTCGAGCATTAGCTCAAATTCTTCGATAAGAAGGAACATTCTGCCAACTGAATGTATTAATACGTGGGAAACTAGTTTGGATAAGGAACTAAATAAAATCCTTCGTGAAACCCTAAACGGCCCGAACAAGGAGAATAGAAACAGCACGTTGGTTGATCATAGTATCAGGAAATTGAAACAATTCTATGATGAACAAGATGACCTGGACATTATTAACTTACTAGCCATGGACGTCGGAGAGCTACTGAGTTTATCAATTCCAAATATTGAAATTAAAAATCATGCCGTAGGTAACTATTCAATACCACAGTTTCTCAACTTGGTAGAAACAAACCATTTGCTAATGACAAAACTCAACGAAATGCAAAAAGCAATAAATATCTATAATATCAAGAAATCAGTGGTCATAGATAGAATGCAGAAACGATTGAAGAATCCCAACGTGAATCCAACGCAAGAGACTCCCAGCTACAATCAAAACGTTGATGAAGACTGGCAAGATTTTATCTCCACAAATAGAATTAGAAAGCAAGAAAAATTAGACAATATTAACGAGACCCTAAGTCTATCCAACTCTCTACAAAGTGATTCGGATACAATTGATGGCTAGTATAACTGTGCGTCAATATAGGTTTATATTCATACCTACATAAATTTGTACTGTATCTTCATTCAAGTTGCAACATCCCATTTACAAAAATAGGAGGCTTGTAAGAATATCTTAAAACATATTTCGGAACACTTACTATTATGTTAACAGAATAACCAACTCTGTTATTCGTTCTATCTTCATTTACAGGAACTAAATTACGTCGTATGATCAGAATATAACATTGACTTGTAAGCGTAGTGTATATTGGATTGAAAATGGTTGTGAAAAAAATTCTACTCGTTTAAAACAAATGTGTTGCAACAACATATCAGAATATAAACAGGTATCATATCACGTAAAAATACATATAATGACTCAAAATAAAGATAGCAAACTAAATATTGAAAATAAGAGGAAACACAGAATATCCCTAAAAAGGTCCCGAAGCGTTGTATCCATGAATTCGAATATATCAGATCGTATGTCCACCAGTCCCTTAATTAGACAGATATCGTTCAAAAAACGGAGAGCCGATATAGAAACAAAATCATTCAAAAGCAATTATGATGAACCGAATCGGATCAGAGATGGGAATTTAACAAGCTTGAATGTTCATGATTCCAAGGGAAACATAGTGAGGGATAATGAGGCACCCTCTAATAAAGCAGATATATCACATCTTCATTTCGGAGTGGATTGTGAGTCCAATTCCAGTATCAATGCTTCTTCCAATTTGACCATTGACTTGTCTAAGAACAACTTCATTCCGTCCGCAAGACCTCCCAAAACTCCTTCTATGAAATCACCAGTGCTTGACGACTGGGACTCATATAACTTCATGCCGAGTGGTTCGTCAAATGCGGAATCTTGTTTATCGGCAAATTCGATACCAAATTCGATATCAGATTCGATATCTAGCATTGTGAAAAGGATCCCGAAAGGTATTCGGTCAGGCAAATCTACAAACAGCAGTTCCTTACTGGATAGTAGCCATACGGAAAGTTATGACAAGGAAGTGTTCATTGTTGACGATGTTGTTCATGCACGTCGCAATAGATTGCAAGTAAAGTTAAATAAAGTCATTACTCATTCGAATAAACGATGGCTGAACATATTTCAAAAGAGAACACAAGCTGAAAATGATCAAGAGATTACACAACCCATATCACCCTTAGATTCTCCAGAATACCACGAGAAATTCAAATCACCAGCAAAAGTACACCACAACTCAGAAATACAGAAGAAGCCACCTGTGCAATCGCTCATCAAATGCGATTCTAATATAGTACCCCAGAAAATTATAATTTCAAATACTAAGGAAATTCATACCAATCAATTACTTGATTCCAGACCTACCTATAACAAGCCTGATATGCACTATGTCAAGCGTGTTACCAAGCAGTCTAGAATTACTAATGCTGCTGAAAGATCCAAGGACGAGACATATTTGGTTCGCAAAGAGCAAATATTCTCGCCCAATACTGATTTAAAAGATTCAGCTAATAGTCCCAACTATCCTGAACACATTCAAGGGTTTTCTTCCTTAAGTATAAAAGATTTTTTACAGGATGCAAATTCGACAAACTGAAAACTTATCGTTATCTCTAGTTTTCTGTATGGCCCGATTTGGTAAATCCACGTGACACAAGACGTTGATGATGAATTTTAAGTTCGCTCGGGATTTGCTTCCACGCTAATTAAAGATAAGAGGTATACTTAAAGAAATTCGACTGAGTAGCAAGTTTAACATGACATTTTCCACTGGAAGAGGTGGTGCTGGCAACATGCAATACTCAAAACACATAACATCTGAAAATAATCATATTAAACCAGTTGCATCAAATCATGGTTCACAACAAAATCCTAATGGCCAAAAAAATCATCAGCAAATCCCACAACAATCGACATCTGAACACAATATTACTAATCATAAGGGAGAAAGAGTTTACTATTCTACTGGCCGCGGTGGAGCGGGCAATATACAATCATCTACGTCGTTGCCTTCGCCAAAACTAGTTCCTCAAGGATCTAATACTCCACAATTACATACAAATAAAGTTTCTACTGGTAGAGGAGGGTATGGTAATATGTTGAAAAACGACGATCCCGAACTAACACGCAAAGTTCAAGATGTGGATGGGCCATCGAATACATCGAGAGAAAACGAATTGTATGCCGTTGCGTCCAATAAGTCATTTTCCATAGGCAGAGGAGGATTCGGAAACGTTATGTCAAATCAAAGATCTAGCAATAGCCAGTCCAGTCAAGAGAAGCCAGCTTTGATGGCTATAAGTAGCTACGGCGAAACGTTGAAAGATGAGCCATCTAAGAAGGGCTTCTTTGGCAAATTGAAGGGCTTGTTCACTAGCGATTAGACAAACTTGCCTTGTTCGATAAGTCACCTCGCTAACGTACTCTCTTTACGTATGATATGAATAATTTTGTTTCCGTATATATATATTTTTAATTCCTTTAATGCATGAATTTAGACTAAGCGTAACTAAACTATTTTTATATTACTATATAACAAAAATGAATTATTGGTTAGTCAAAAATTCCCTTAATTTATCTAACGCTCTAAATCTATGGGAGATTGTATTCTTGGTTTTCTTATCCATTTCGGCATAAGTTTGGTCGAAACCTTCTGGTTCAAAGACTGAATCCCAACCAAAATCAGTAGGGCCTCGGCTGTCGACAATATTACCCTTGGTAACGCCTTGAAATAACCTAACTTCTGCGTCTGGTCCCTCGCAATATCCGAAAGTACAAATGGCATTAGCACCTTTATTTTCAAACTTGTATAACATATCGACTAATCCTGATAAACCAATCGATTTAACGAACCACTTAATGTAAGGTCCTGGTAAATTATTAAAGGCTTCAAATCCTAAGCACGTATCTTCTACAAGGACTGGTCCTTTAAGAATATTAGCAGCAGCCTTAGCCTTATTAATTGTGACTTCTTCGATTGTTCCTTGAACTTCATCCAAATCTAATGACTCATTGGTAATGGAATATTTACCAACTTTTGACGTACCGTCTTGAGATTCAGAAGTGGAAAGAATAGCAATGACTTCTTTCAATTTATTGGCATTACCAGTAACAAAAGTGATGGTGTTTTCAGACATTATGGCAACTTGAAATGAATGAATATTTAAGTGCTGAAAGGTTTTTAATGCTCTTCTGATATTCAATTTTTCGATTGATCTCGTTTTTCAGTAACTCCATTAGTCATTCCAGCGATGGAATTAGTCATAAGTTGACTCTCTTTCTGCATTTCATCCCTGGAAACAACTTTCAGAATGCTTTCTACACCTACGCTTAAGATCTACGGCAATATATATATATCAATAATTTTATTCAATTTAAAGTATATACAGAGTGGATGTCCATACGACACAAATTTACAAAATGAAAAATATTAACAGAACCTCAGTCAAATACATTTCCCATACATTAACTCGAGAACCTGGCGTAAGGTACCTCCTAAGGATATTGAAGTCAAGTCAGTGATGCAAGTCGGAAGATAAAATCAACAATCTTCAAGAATCTCAAGATTCTCTCTGACCGCTCTATAATTTACCTAACCTCTTCTTCAACGATCTCTGAGCTCTTCTTCTCTTTCTCAACTTATGCTTCTTCATCTTCAATCTTCTTTTTCTCAATACTGAATCCATATGCATAGTATTATCTTCAACCTCGACGTCATTCAATGATGCGAGTGGATCATTTTGAACAGTTGGAATTATGTATTCTTTCTGAATTATAGAGCTTGAACCAACATATGCTCTCAAAGAACCAATTTTGTTAAGAAGACTAGGTTGTACACTTGGCAATGATGATAATGGATGTAATGATAATTGTCTAATCGGGGAGATAACGGCTGGGATAGATGACTGCACCCTACTGCGGAACAATGATATATTTCTGAATATGATAGATGGTTTGAACATCGTCCCTTTCTATTTTATGCCTTCTAACCTATACTATTCTTGAAAGTACTACTTCTGTCTACCTAAACTACGATTTTCCAAAAGGTCAAAAGCTGAAAAGTGAAAAATTAACTCGATTATATAATCATCGATAATCACGTGTACATATAGTAAGTATAGGCTACTACTACTATATAAGATACGTTTATATAAAACCAGTCTAATAATGATCTATTGATGCATTCATAACGATGTCGTCAGTTGTGTTCACTATGAATCCATTGATACCACAAATTCCATTGCTGGAACTTACGTTTCCGACCATACTGCTAGTCCAGTTGACAACATCAAACTTTAGGCCATGGGTATTTAACGTAATAGATGTATTGCTTAATGGTAGTAACCCACATATTGGAGCCTTGCTTGAGGTGTTGAAGAGCGATTTCAGTTCATACTGGATGTAGTTTAGTCCTTTCTTTATTAAAAAAATCATGTCTGAATGTGAGACAAAGAATATCTGCAAGTGGGGATCTGATTGATTGAGCTTGTAGAGCTGATTGATTGAATGTATAGTTTGGTCGAACCTGCCTCCGATGCCACCCAACATATATACATATACTGGTGTTGCGCCTGACGTTTTCAAAAGTTGTGCTAGCTCCGAAAGTCCATTATCTGGTTCAATTCTCTCGTACAACTTCAGTTTCAGGGTTTTTGAATGGAAATATATTTTTGCCAACATTATGGATTTCGTTAGGTCGGTAGAATATTGTGAATACTGTTGTATCACTACTGTTCCCTTCAGTATGTAGTATTGCTTTACTTCGTTGGTGACGGAATCACAGTCCCCGGTGATAAAGTCGGGCACGAACTTGCTTCTTTCGTTTTCGTCCTCAAAGTAATTGTATAATTGGTTTGCACCTCCATCAGCACATATACGTAATCGAGTATTAGGCCACAATCGGCGTAAATTCATATCCCGTATTGATTGGTTTAGTATAATGAGACATTTCCTTGAAATTCCTGAAGAATCATTAAAGAACTCAAATGGTTCAATTAAAGTATATGGTTCAGAGGGAGGCGGTATCTCTATCTCATCTGGGCGTTCGACCACCATTGAGTCTTCATCTCCGGACATATTTATGTAAGACTACTGTTCTCTCTTTATAGTACCAAAAATCCAGTGAACAATTTTTATGCTTGTGCGCGATTGATAAAAACCATATTATCATCAGAAGAACTTACTTTGCTACGTTTATAATACAATCAACGTAGTTATTAAAATAACTATAGAGTCATCATAAACTGCAAGATATTTTTCACAAGCGTCAAGCTTATTAATTTAAATAGTTGTGGAAAATATAAAGTATGAGCTCAACTAATAAACAGCCAGCAGGGTCAGCACCAGCAAATCCAACGGACCCTATTAATCCAGCCAATAATCAAAATAATATTGTCCCAAGAGATGTCAGATTGTTGCATTTGATATTTGCCACTCAAGGAATTCAAAACTACCAGGACCATGTACCTTTACAGTTGATGGATTTTGCTCATAGTAAGTTTCAATTTTTCCATCAGTTTTACTCCTACATACCATAAATACTAACCCACCTAGGATACACTACATCTGTCTTGAAAGATGCTCTTATATATAACGATCATGCCAAGCCGTTGAATTCCAATACAAACATCAATTCGAGTGCTAATTCTACGGTAAACACCGATGACATAAGATTGGCCATAGCTGCAAGAACAAACTACCAATTTAAGCCCACGCCACCCAAGGAGTTGTTGTTAGAATTGGCCCATGAGAGAAACTCAAAGCCCTTGCCACCTGTTATTCCAAAATGGGGCTTGAACTTACCACCTGAAAAATACTGCTTAACAGCAAGAGATTGGGAAAACTTGGAAGACGAGTTCACCGAAGGTGAAAAGGAAACCTCTGAAGCTGCTAATAAGAAGCTGAGATTAAGATAATCTAACAATCCCTATTGGACTATGCAAATTATGATGTTGATAATTTACCGAGATGTATTTTTAGACTCTGGTTCTATTATTCGGCCTGATTTTTCAACTTCTTTCTTCATCCATCCTCGAATACTTTGCCTCCTATGTACATTACTATTTTCACGCTGTATATCAGTATATATACGTCTATACAAATCATATTAACATTTATTAATAGATAGGACTACCGAAATGTTTATGTAATCACGTTTTGAGATTTCTAGTCGGAGGCAGTAACAAATAATAACACTCTATAAGATAGGCTAGAGTTTGAAATATAGAATACAACGCTATCAATAGTTAAAGAATACAGAAATCAATTGAATATGCTTCTCACTACATTAGCTTCGATTCCTGAGTACGTAAATTTTATCTATAATACAATAGGCCAGAAATGAGATAATTTGAAATTTCACCTGGGGAGTTTCAATACAAAATACTAACATTAACTTATAGAGCTAAGGAGGAATATCTTGATTCTTCATTAATTGAAAGGACGAGTCGTTTGCATACTTTTACTGACTTAGGACCGGCAGACTTGTGTAATATTCATAAGCAATCAGTGACATCGAAAAAGAATTCTGAAATTGGAACGTTTTTATATTATACCGGTGTCGATACGTCGAATTCTGCTTCAATTGCAGCGCATTTGCAAGGATTAGCTAACTTAATAGGCTCAAAATCACAATACTGGTTTGGGGAAAAAAAGCATTGGAAGGTGCCAGAATTGACGTATTGTACTTACAATGCGTTCTCGAAAGTGGATATGAGAGTGACTGTCCATATTCCAGGAAAATTTGAAAGCTCAATAATCAATAGTGATGGAAAATTAATTCATGACAAGGTTAGTGACAACGAATCAGAGAAATTATGGCTTGAAACCTTCGTGACATCAATTGTTAGATGCCTAATTGATTCGGAAGATGACGATGCCAATAAGGTTGGAGGCCTAGTTGAAGTTCGTAAATTAAATCCTTTTAATAACGGGAAGTCCTCCAAAGAATTATTGGCCTACTTCATGAAAGGGTTTGAGAAATTATTCTGGGATGGTCCAAAATTAGGATGTGGCATTGACATTCCTCAGCCAACTATAATATCCAATTATTTGGTTGATGGTTTTATTAAGTGTGTTGAATTAACCCAAAACTACGCGGAAGCATTGGAAATATTAGACAGACTCAAAGAGAAAGAGCCAGGTGTGGTTACATTGATTGCGCGTGTCTTATTATTGAAAGATGAAGAGATTAGGGCAGTCCAAGTAATGAATGATGGTGTTATTAATAATAATCGTGATGCTGATTTGTTATTGTTACAAGCACAATTCTGTGTCGATAAAAAAAGATATGATTTAGCATTGAATATTTCTAAACAAGCTGTAAAATCATCGCCATCTGATTTCAAGACCTGGGCTATGTTGGTCAAGGTTTATACTAAACTAAATGATTTCGAGAATGCCTTACTTACTCTTAACTCGTGTCCGATGAATTCGCATAAAGAAAAATATTACCTAAAAAGAATTGTTCCGTTAAAAGGTGGTAATGACGACTTGCATTTGCCTTCCCCAGTTGATGTTACATTAGATGAGGTATCCAATCTACAAAGTAATGAAATAAGTTATGAACAAAGGAATTTAGATCCACAGTTAATTAATTTGCCGGCCGCTAATTTGAAATCAACATTTGCCAAGGCTTATGATTTATTGACAGAAATTGTAAATAAAACTGGCTGGGAAGCGTTATTAAAATACCGTGCTAAGGTTTTCGTAATGGAGGAAGAGTACCGTAAAGATAGAAATAGTAATACTAATAACTCTAGTAATGGTCACACGAGAAAGAATTCTACTAATTCTAATTTGAATGGCGAACCTACCGGGGAAAATGGTAATGCAAGCGGTATGGAAAACGATGCATCGTCCACGCTTGCCATTAAATCCCCAAAGAAAGATGAGCAAACAAATATTGAAGATATGGATGAATCCTTAGAAAATGAATTCAAGAAGAAAAGGTTATGTGAAAGATGGTTGGATAACTTATTTATGTTATTATACGAAGACTTAAGAGCATATACTATGTGGCAGGCTGAATACGTTCATTTCCAAGCACAACAAATGGAATACAAGAAAACTACTTTAGAGTGGGAAATCTTAGGTTTAATTGCTTACAGATTAAAGCATTTCAAAGAAGGTTCTGTAGCATTTGCAAATGCCTTAAGTGGAAGATTTTCAGCCAAATCAACTAGAGAAATGCTCAGATATTACCAAATGGAAAGAAGCAAAATATTATCCAAAAATTCAAACAATACAAATAACTCAAATAGCTCCTACACGCATAACTTTACTAAGGTTGTGAATCAATTAAATGAAAAGATATTGGAGTGCTGTATCAAGTTATTAGTATGGAATCACAGATGGTACAGTGATTTTTCACCCTCGTTAATAAACACACTAAGTGATTTGGTTGCGAAAGATGGCTTGATCAAAATTCAATCATTAGTGCAAGCAGTTTATTCTAATAATATTAACGCTACTGCTTCTAATGATAATGGAAACCATGGCATTACAGATATGATGGAAGATATTTATAATTTTTTCAAGGAATATAAAATCAATGGTGCTGATAATTAGTGATATAGATCTTTATCGTAATAACTACTTTACCCCAAAGTTTTATTTGTATTATCTTTTTATAATAATATTATTATTTTAAACATTACCTAATGAATAGTAGTAAATAGTCACGATGGATTGTGCGTTTTTTTTTTTTTTTTGTGATTCCGGTTATCTGCCACTAGATTTTTCACCATCAAATCAACCCTATATTCCAAGTATATGCTGATAAAGGAGTTGATTAGTGGATAGTTACCATTTATAACATCTTGTGCCTCATTGGAAACATATAGAACTTTTTGAAGTTTACAGGCAAATAGAATTCATCTAGGCAAGAACAAAAAGTTTTAGCAGCCTTCAACATGACATCTGCCAGAGAAAGATTGGCAATGTTACATTCACATATCAAAGACAATTCCAATATAAAAGTAATGGCTGAGTTTCCAATGTTAGTTAAAAGTGAAAGACAACAATATTTGGATAGTAACTTTCAATCTGTTCCAAGCAGTTCAAATTCATCTAATTTTGCATCATCAGTTATGAGACCAACGAATAAACCCATAATGTCTATTTCTTCCGCCGCAAGCAATAATAATATATCACAATGCAGTCTCCGACAAGATCATGTGGAAGTCTGTAATAGCATCTCGAAATTCACATCCACAACGACAAAGTCATTCTCAAATCTGGAATTTGATGAAATTTATGCTAATGTGGACAAGAAGTTGAGGTTATTGTTAGGAAGTAATAATCCCAGTGATTCGTACATATTATCTGGAAGTGAGGGCTTGGGTTGGGAGTTTTTAGGAAAAAATATAGTTCAATCATTAGAAGATGATATATTATGCATAAGTACTGGTGCTTACTCGAAACAATTTGCTAAGCACTTACAAAATTACGTGGAATCTGAAGACAGAAATGTTACTGTTCTAGAGGCAAATATAGGAAGTACTGTTCCTTTAGAATTAATTCAAAATGAATTAACGAAAAAACGATATGGGATTGTCGCCTTAACTCATGCCGACAATTCGACAGGAGTTGTGACAAACATTAAGGAAGTTTCACAACTAGTAAAACAAAGTTCACCAAACACCTTAATTGCTGTGGATGCTGTTTATTCGGCAGGAGTCGAAGAAATACATGTTGAAAATTGGGGAATAGATTTCACTTTGAGTACTTACAAAAACACCATATTCACTACAGAAGTTTTATCATATATTTTACTATCATCACGAGTCTTCTTAGAGATGCCTAAAGTTACTATGAATGATTCTAGCTCTTCAAGTAACTATAAGATGCAGTTGACTTATTCAAATGCTAATTTTCAACTCCTTAATGCCTTGGACACCTCCCTTTGGCGATTTTTCGGAATGGATACACAACACGATATTTCAACTGATAACTCGAATAAATTAACGTCTAGGTTACTATCCCGCTTTGCCGAATATAAGTCATCTGCTGAAAAACTACGTAAAAGTTTGGTTAATGAAGAAACTGGAATAAGTGCAGTATGCCAAGACTGGTCAAATTGCAGCAATGGTATGACAGCAATTTACTTGCCTAAAACTACTGAAATATCTGAATTATTGAAAATACTTTGCGAAGAGTGTGATATTTCTCTAGTTAATGGCATTCATCCTAGACTTGCATCGGAATACATCAGCATTGAGCATGCAGGGTTCAGGTTTTCTGGTAATGATATCGATGTGGATAAAGTAGTTGAAATTATCAAGAAAAGTTTAACCAACAATAAATAAACTTACATTATACTTAAATTAGATTTTAATAAATTTCGATAGACATTAATTATTTGCAAGATTTTTTTTTAAAAAACTATATACGGGTAAACCTGCAACGGATAATTAATTGGATACATCTGTACTGTTCTTTGCTTCTGCTGATTCTTCTTCCGTAGCATTTTCAATAGCATCTGTCCATTTCTTCTCTTCTTCAAATCCTTCTTTGGCGGCTTGAATCAACTCGGCTCTCGATTCTTCCAATCTTTTCTTACGGTCCTTAATGGCTGCGTCTCTTCTTTCCAACTCTTCAATCCATAATCTTTCTCTTACCTTTGCTTTGGCCCTTAATATTTCCTCTCTGGTTGCTTTTTGTTCGTCCGATTCAACTTGGAACATATATCCACCTGCAACTAAGGCAATTAATGTGGCCAATTGAAACCCAACTCTGTAACGGAAATACTTTTGAGTATTTACCCTATCACCTTTTCTAATTGATTTAGTAGCTAAAAAAATAGCTCCGGTAGTAGCAATCACTCCGAGCGGGACCAATGGTTGTTGCTTGCACTTGAAGGCCATTTTTTCCAAGATGTCCATTTCACTACATGAGTTAATACCTAATCATTCAA